CAAGGTTTTGCAGCTCGCGTGGTGCCCGCTATATCCAGGGGTACGAGCGACATCATCCGATTTTTTGCGGAGTAGTTTGGCTTCATGGAAAGCGAAGGAGCAGTAACTGTTTCGGATCTTTCCGAAAATTTCGGCATGTACGGAGCAGCAGTCGTGTGATTGTGGGCTCGACTTGAGGGTATTTACTGGAAGGGTTAAGGACATGTCATTTTCCATCGCCATCATCGTCAACGTCTCGCCAACACCCGCTACCGCCTCCATCGTCAATTCGCCTACCTTCGTTCGCTATATCGAACACGACCCCGCCATCCGCTTGGAGCAGTATCGAATCGACGAGATTTGGCAGTATTAATGGTGGAGTTGTGTTGGGGCCAGCTCGCAAGCAGTGGATTGACTCGTAAAGATTTTTCAGTTCGTCTTGGAGTTATTTCAGGAGCAGTAGTTGCTGGTTTTCAAGACTTCAGAAGCGGTTTGCCCTGCATAAGAATTCAACTTTGGAGCAGAATTGGGAGTTTTACTCGTTGGAGTTTCACCGACCTCTTCGAAGCTGAGTTTTACCGGAGTTTATGTCGCACTTAAGGTGTTTTACGCATACCCTGGAGTAGTGAGTTACCTGGAGGTTTACCTCATTTCTGGAAGCTGATTCTTCTTGGAGGAGGTGGGGAGAGGTGCAGTTGCGCTACATTCGTGCTCTGCAATTTCGTCACCACCAACTGACAGCCTACAGCATCACTGTTCATTCGCCCGCAAGAGTTTTCACCATTGCCCAATTCGGCCAGCCGAATAATCGACCAACATTCAATGGCCAAGATCGATTGCGATCGTTTGGACAACTTTCAGCCATTCGATCACTATTCAAGATTAACGGCCCCAATTAATTTCGACATCTCAAGACAAGCATCATGATGAGAAGCGTACGGTCATGCCTCGTTCTACAATCCAAGCCATCGAGCATGATCCTGCCAAATAAAAATAATCGTCAGTCATTCGATCTGGAGATATCCATCAGATCGACCTCGACACTTTCACCACCGACATTGCTGACTCGTGATAATCGCCCAACAGTCAAGACATCTCTCGACCAATTTCAGCCGTCGGATTTGGCTCGCCGAAGACACGTCAGGACGGCGTAATCATTACGCTCGTTAGAAGACTTCAAGACATAGTCACACTCGAGATTGGATTATTAATCCATCGGGGTATCGCCTCTAGTGTACGGAGGGTTTCTTTAGAAGGTGGGAGAGTGTAAGGAATTACAATTCCTTACTGCGCTAAAATACAACGCGTACATCCGAAGACCTCGACCTCGCAGGTTCGGTCTCGATTGTCGGCCCAAACCTTCCCGAGTTGCGTTCCGACACCCTCGCCACCCTTCCAAGCCACATCACGTCCGGAGGTTCTCGCCCTAGCAAGTACGAGCCCTATTTTAGCCAGTTCACTCGTCACTTGCTCATTAATTATTACTCATATGTTATGTTTCCATTACTCAGTCGATTGTTCCATTCCCACTCATAACAAGATAACTATATTCAACTAAAAAAAAAAAAAAAAAAAAAAAAAAAAAAAAAGAGCTACCGTACCATGCCTTTTTGTCACGTACTTGGACGTCACAAATTCTAGGACTTCGGAAACCCTCTTAAAGCCCGCTTAGCAGGTTGCATATCTGTATTGTTTAGGTAGGTGGGACGGCAGAACCTGATTGGATAATGAAGGATTCTTCAAACGAAATAGTTGGCGAATACTAGGCTTCGCAGAGCCAGCGTTTGTTTCCTGCAAGCTAGCGGGGCTGGAAACTTGGCAGGGCTGCTAGTTTTGCAGCTCACAATCTGGCAGAGAGCCACCTCGTCAGCTCTGCCAAGTTTGCAGGGCGAGAACTCGTAATTGTTTCGATCACAACCAACCCTTTGACCTGACCGGTTTCGGAAAAACAAACCAGATGTTGTTTGACGCATATACAGTTCGGTACAGTGCGACCCCAAAAATACGAATCACCTTTTTGTTTCGTGATTCCCGCCCACACTTCAAAGTACATATTCAGGTTTCTATCCCTCACCCAATCTGTCGTTTTTGTTTTCCCCTCGAAGAACTTGGCAGGTTTGCACTGCCAAGTTCCGAGAGGCCCCCAGCCCTGCCTGGTTGGAAATCCTTTGCGACCATTTGGCAGTTTGATGTCAGCTGCTCGGTTACGAGGGCCTCAAAGTGCAGCATCTTGAGAAAAGATGACTTGCAATCTGCCGGTTGGGCTTTAAGAATACTGAAGTGCTCTATGCTGACCCAGAAACGGTCAGGGTGCTGAAAAAACTGTTGCTGCCGCCCAGTTTCACCCCTCACAATTACCGCGGGCCAGGTGTACACATCTTTGCCGACAACACTTTGTGTCAAGCGAGCTTGACACTTGCTTGGGATCTACGGATAGCGTTTTCCTGCGAGTGTTCCGAACTCCACTTCGGTGGATGCGTGGAGTTTCCTGCGAGTGTTCCGAACTCCACTTCGGTGGATAGCGTGACTAGGAGTCGCGTAGCATAGCCTGGCGAAATTGGACGGTATGCAACCAGGGCTTACTTTTGGTTTTCAGTCACTCTTAAGAAATCGGGTTTTTGGAGCCTTTACCTTTAGTTTTCAGGGTCCAGCAGAAGGCATCCTTTAATCGTTAGGGTTCGTTCGCACATTACCCTTTTTGACTGCCACAATTAGAATCCACCAGGAGATGTATGGGCAGGACGAAAAGGGCGTGAGTAATGAGCACGGGGCTGTGAGGGGAGAATGACGAAAATCCCCTCTGTTTGTGACTACGAGGTGTGAGTAACGTGCGGTGAGGGGAGAAGAACGAAAATCTACGAAAGGATTGTCTCTTCTCTGTTTGTGACTATGAGGTGTGATTAAAGCCGTTGACCCAAAACGTACAAGATTAATAAAGATGAACAGGACAAAAAGTTGAGCAGGAGAAATGACACGAGCGTGGAGGAGTGGTGTGAGGGTGGCGAGAGTGGGCAAACACAGCACACTACGAAAACCAATCAGAACGAGCATACAAATTATGACAGAACCAAAACGTTCGCAAACAACGACTGGGGGAAATCGAGGGTGGGGGGGAAAAGAAAAGTGGGGGCGCGCGCAAGGCGCAGGGGGGAGTGGGAAAGAATACCTGATCAGAGCGGCGCACGGCACATCGTTGAACACTGGAAACAACTGGAAGGAAGGGCACGTGACTCTGGGTTGCGCATCCTAGCCGAGTTGCGCAACTCGCTTGGAATCGCCAAGCAACTTGACTTGCGCATATCAGGGCGTGGTACAACTCATATCACGATTATGTCTTCAAACTGAAATTGGAACAGCTGATGGGGTTGTAGATGTTTAGACTGTTTTCAACGCGATCAAGAAGGCTAGATAAGAAAAATAAAAATACGAGTTCAAGTCGCGTACCTCACTTGAAATGATTTGTACCGCGCCCTAATAAAAATGGCGTGTGCTGTGCATGGTGCTTTCGCTGCCTAGGGCGTAGTGGCATTGGGCTGGGTTTGCACTCCGAAAGGTCCCAAAATGTATGGGGGAAGTTCAAGTTTCTTTCCGCTCAAACGCCTGTTGTGGCAGGGGCATGGGCATAATCAGCTGGGGGTGGCGCAAGATTATAAACTGTTCCCCGTCGTTTTGTTGCGCAACTTTCGTTTTTGCTTTCACTCTGGGGAACTGGGTTGCCAATCGGGGGATTTCAAGATTAATAAACTTGAAAGGCAATTTCTGCAATTTGGGTTAACGGCTTTAAGGTGCTGTGAGGGCAGAAGAACGAAAATCTACTAAGTTGTCTTCCTTCCCTTCTGTTTGTGACTACGAGGTGTGAGTATCGTGCTGTGAGGGGAGAAGAACGTAAATCTACTTAAGGGAGTTGTCTCCTCTCTGTTTGTGACTAGGAGGTGTGAATAACGTGCTGTGAGGGGAGAAGGACGAAAATATTCGAAGGGACTTATCACCCCTCTGTTTGTCACTTGGTGTGAGTACGTGCTGTGAGGGGAGAACAACGAAAATCTTCGAAGGGAGTTGTTCCCCCTAAGGAGATCCCCCCCGCAGCCCTACCAGCACTAGTAGTACACTCAGGGTAGGAAATCATATACCCTTAAACTCTAGGGTCTTACTATCAATAAACCATTAATCCACCGGGTTCATAAAAGGACAGCCCTGAATTTGTGGGGCCATCTGGGAAAATGTCTTTATTTGACTCAAATTCAGGGCAGCAACCCTTGAAACATAGGCCACGTAACGCTGACCAGAAAGTAAACAAAGGTGACAATGAGGGGGGAGGCTTGTGCTGTCCAGCGCCTCGCCTCGCCTCTGGGATCTGGATGATCCTTTGATCGATGGGCAAACGAATGGCGAAGAATTGACACAGCTGCATTCTGATGGGATGGGACATGCCCGCCAACAGCCACTAGCCAGTCCAAGGACTTTTGGTTCTGCTGACGCGGTGGAGATGGACTAGTGGCTCGCATTTTCGGAGGACATTGGCTCTCCCTCCACCATCCAGTGACGCGTCGCTCGAACCACACGGCCTTGTCGACATTCGCCAACACACAACCAACCACGACGAATGGCGCGGCGCCAAAATTCCAGCGAAGCACAGACAGAGAGATTCCCGAGCCGAGAACAAGCGAGGCTCGGCAGAATTCCTGACTGCCCATAAAGCGCAGTGTCTGGTTGGGCGTGAATAGAAACTCCGGAGCTGCGAACGGTTGCCCTCAATCTCTCAGTGGTGTAGCGTACAGTATCTCAGAGGCAGCAGAACCTCATGTGCCTGGGGATAGGGCAGTCCCGTCGCGTCCCGAAGCCAATCTGTCCATCCGTTGAAATTCTGCCCAACGCCAAACTGACCAATCATGCTCCCCTTCACGCGCCCAATTGCCTGATCCTCAAGATGGGATATTCCAACCAGACAAGGATGGATGGAGGAATTGAAAAGCCCAACCAAACCCAGCCATGCTCAACCAAATGCCATTCACCATCAACCCACAGTTGGCATCAACCAAACAATTGCCAAGCTTTCGCAAAGCTTCTTCCACGTGCGAGTCCCCTCCTTCTGCCCGCCGTGCTGGACTCTGGCTCTAGGTGCCCTCTTCCCATTAGCCCATTCTCAACTTCCAGTCAGCAGCACTCTCTCACGACAGAGTCACTTGATCTGCTCTTATCCAAGACCAACCCCTAGAATCTTCTCCATCCCGCTGTCACCTTTCCCACCTCCACCATCCCATTCATCCTTATCCTCCTCTTTTCTACATTCAACATTGAAGGGATCTGAAGCATCTTTCTCACTGAACTCACCATCCCTTCCAACTGAAGGCAGCCATGACTGGATCAACAGTCATTCCTCCATCTGTGTCGTCAGGAAAGCTCCTGAAAGGAGAGTCTCGCCTTCAGAAGCTTGAGAAGTTGAAGCTGAGTCTTGTAACGCCTTCGTCCGAGGCAGAAAGCGTGAAGAATAAGACGAAGCCGCAAGAGCAGCCGCAAGGAAAGCAGCCTGAAAGAATGAGCTCCTCGCCGTCCTTTCTGGACTCGGTCTCAACCACCGCTCCGGCATTTCCTCGTCCCAAGCGGATGTGCGACTCTTGCGTGACCGAGCCTGCGACCCTCTACTGTGCAGCCGACGACGCGTACATCTGCGGCGTGTGCGACGGTTTCGTCCATGGAGCCAATCCCCTTTCGCAACGACACGAGCGTGTCAGGCTGGGTCCTAACGGAGCTCCGGTGAAAATATTCCGTCGCGCTGGCGGTAACGGTAACGGTAACGGGAGCTCTGAGCTGCCTGCGATGGTTCGAGGATCAGGCGTTGCCAAAATGGTGAAAAACTTCCCAACAGCCGATGGAATAGCGTCATCAGTTCTGACCAATGCCACCGGCTCCAACTCGAAAAGACTCGGAGGACTCGTGAAGGAGGAAAGGATCCTCCAAGGAGCGACAATGGCACCCGGAGACAGTAAGAAACGGCAGCAACATAATTTCGGCGTTGCGAAAGCGAAAACGGGTGTGATCGCGAAGCCCGAGCCTCAAGTTCATTCCTGGGAGCCGGCTTTCCCTTCTCACTGCATGGCGAGCGTCCCGCCGTCGCATGGAGGACGAAACAGCAACGGTCAGCGAACGCCTGTAAGCGCGGCGTCGAGAGGAGCCTCCGCTTCCGCTGCGCCTTGCGGAGCTTCGGAAGCTTCCCGAGCTTCTCCGCGGGGTGTTTCCGCCGCTCCCCCTCCCCCGCACTGCTACTGGCGCCCAGAGGACTGCTCCGCGCAAGGGGTACCGCCTATGCCCCATTACGGGCCTGGTCTTATCCCTCCGTACATTCCCCCGCCGCACATGGCTCCTTACGTCCACCCCTGGCTTGCGCCGCCTCCGCACCCCGGTGTCGTCTACCCTCCCGTGCCCTGGGGTCCCATGTACGGACCGCATGTGGGAATGCCTTATATGGGAGCTGCTCCTAACGAGTACATTGGGCATCCGGGGGACTACGCCGCCGTTCCGCACCACCCGCGCTTGGCGGAGATCATGCGAGGCCCGCGGCCTTCGAAGAAACAGAAGCGTAGCGGCAGGCATTTTCCGTCGATGGGGGCCGCGGCTGACGGGGGGAGCGCAGGGCGCAAACTGAAGCAGGAAGCGGAAGGGGGGGTCGGCGGAAGACCAGCTGAAGGAATGGCGGACGATGCTTTCCTGGATATCCTGTCATTCGACGACGTGGACCGTTTTTTCGTAGATGAAGCCGACGAGTGCACGCCAGTAGCGGACGGGCGGACGGGCAGAGAAGTACCAGACGCGCCTCAGCTCCCCGAGACGCAGCAGACCGCACGAGGATTGACGGCTGCCGAACCTGCCACCCTCGGTGCTACCGACGCGAAGGCCAGCGACAATGCGATGGCGATTCCCTCGTCCAGCGACGCGAGCTCAAACAGCGGGTGCGGCGGCGGCACGTTGCGCGCGACCGGCGTGGGGGAGAGCGCGAGCGGAAGAGAAGCGGAGGGAGAGGGGGAAGGGGAGGGGGAGGTGAAGCTGGAGGCGCAGGGGTTCGAGGACTTCATTATGAGTCACGGGGAGGAGGAGGGCGAGACTGAGGGGTGGTTCGTCGGCGGGTGGGGCTTTGACGAGTCCGCGGAGGCCGAAAGCGAAGTCGACGTGGAGCCGCTCGACGCCTCGCCCACCGCGGGTGACGCCAGCGGCGCAACCAGCGCCAGCGCCGCCGCGCGAAACACCCCTCAGGCGCATCTGGGGAAGAGGCTCCTCGCGGAAGACGTCTTCGGCAGCAGCTGCGGCGCTCCCGCGTGCGGAGGCGCGGATGGGAGAGCGGGCGCGGATGCAGGGCTGGCGGTGAAGCTGGGCAGTCACAAGGAGCTCCAGCAGCAGTCGCCGAGCCTGCGGCTGAACTACGAGGACGTGATCAGCGCGTGGTCGGACCACGTGCACGAGGGGCAGTCGCCGTGGATTGAGCAGGACGACGAGGAGGGCGGCCGTGAAGTAAAGCGCGACGGCTTCAATCGGCTACTGGTAAGACAACTCTCCGCGTTTGCGAGTGGATAGTACGATGTAGGGTCCTTGCGTTTAGTGGACCAAGCGTGGAGGAACAGAACGAGTAACGGAGTCGAGGCCTTGCCTCCGAGGACAGGCGTAGCTTCAGAGCATTTGACTCGGCACAATCTTCGACGCATCACCGCATACCCATGCCGTGCGCCATGCGGCCTGCGGAATGCCACCCAGAATTCCCATCCCTTCAATCTCTCAGCTTTCCTTTCCGTCAAAATCTTCATTCGGATCACATTCTCTGATTCACATGCCATACCTAACTTACAACGCCTCACACACCATGCACACTGTGCCCATCATGCACCATACACCGTGTGTGCTTCAGATAGCCACCTGCCACTTCACTTCCTTTCACCCATCAAGCACAAACATCTTCCTGCCTCCGAGCTGCTCACAAGTTTTTCTCACCTTCTTTCCCAAATGTTCTGCCCCTGCAGCCTGCGCACCTCCCTGGCTTTCCTGCACATTCGTCTCCATCGTTACCTGGCACTGCTCAGCAGCAGCAACAGCAGCAGCATCAGCCGCTGCAGCCTGGGTTTGACAGCGACGCCTTTGAGCCGTTCTCCAGCGAGGACAGGGAGGCCCGCGTGCTGCGCTACCGCGAGAAGCGGCGCAACCGCCTCTTCTCCAAGAAGATCCGCTACGAAGTGCGCAAGGTCAACGCGGACCAGCGGCCCCGTGTCAAGGTACGCCCTCACCTCCACTGTCCTGGATGCATGGCTCTTCATGCATGGCTCTTTATGCACTGTGTAGAACATGGCCTGTAAGAAGGATAGCATCCAGTGCAGTTCTTTCCCTTGTGCTGGATTGTGCTGCATCTGACATGGCCCTTGCTTTCCTCTTTGTTGCAGGGGCGTTTTGTGAAACGAACTGAGGTACCCTGCCAAGAGTGAGCACTTCTATGACGCCTGCTACGTTGATTCACCTGTGCATTCAGCAAGCGACGGGAAGAACAGGCTTCTGCAAGAGAAGGGGCCTAGCTCGCTGGTTTTTCCCCTCCACCCGTGCTGCTGTTGTGAGTGCAACAAGCTACTGGCTCTGGGGTGAGCAACAAGCAAGAGCGCTGAGAAGTGCAACAATTTTGAAGTCTACCTGCGTGCTGCGCCGAGGGGGATTTTACTTGCCATGTCTCGTCGCCAAGCCACACTGCATCCAGGATACCCATGGGAAAGCGTTTGATGTGTGGAATGTGTGCTTAAAGCAAGGGTCTCAAGAAGCAGAAAACCAAATCCCAAGGTTTTGGTTTTGGGTTGACGAACTTTGCGAAACAGTTACAACGCCCAACCAGCACCCCTCATCGCACCTCGCAATTGCCGAGACCTTTGGGTTTGGTTTTCTGCTTCTTGAGACCCTCGCTTTAAGGAGAGATCTCGGATGTGGAGTCGGTGCTCTGATTTGTTGATGACAAATGTGCTTATACCCCCTGGGTTCAATTAGGGTAGTCTGTGTGAGTGCTTGTGTATGTATTTATTCTTATTTGTGAGACGGATGGACGCAAGTCCAAGAGAAGGATTTTTAGCGCATGGGATATACTTTGGTACTTGCTTACCAAGAGTCAACACCATGTGCCCAATTGTAGGCTGTTTGTTTGATGAGTGGGTATGTCACGTAAGAATTTCAGTTGCATTTCAAGCGAGGGGGATATCCTGAATTGTTATCACAACGAAGATGGTTGATAGAAAGCATAAATAGCTTCGCATGATGGCACTGATGGATTTCAGGTCCAGGGAGACTTGTCATGGCGACAAGCACCTCCTTCCTGCCGTCGGCCGCTTCGCTGCTCATCCTCAGATCGACGTCCGCATTGCGCCTCTCCATTGCCTCGCCTTCTCACAAACAATGTCCACCATGCCCAGCTCCCGCCGATGCCACTGTCGTTCGCGCTGCATCGTACAGGCAGGCGCGCGAGCCCTGGGGACCGGAGGAATCGCCAAACGTGGCTTCTGATTGGCTCTCCCAGGAAAATGTCTCGCGAAGGCCCGGCGAACAGGGCGAGAGGCAGCGCAGCGGAAAGAGTGCGGAGGGACAGCCGGGCAGGGGGAGTGGGAAGAAGAAAGCCCCGCGGAATCAGGAGGGTAAGGAGAATGGGAAGGCGGAAGTTCCGATAAGAAACGACAGGAAAGGGTTTCGACGAAGACGGGGTTTTAAGTGGAAGCGGAATATCGAGGGGGAGGGCACAGCACCAGATGGCGTAACAAGCACAGGGGATGGGGTCAGCAGCAGCAGCAGCAGCAGCGGCGGCGGCAGAAGCAGTGGCAGCAGCAGTTTCAGCGGCGGGGAGAGGAAAACGAGATCGGATTCCAAAGCTTCACTGCCCATAATCTCCGTATTTAATGGGAATGCTGCAGGCAGGGATTTAAGCGATGATGAAATCGAGGAGTGGGAGGACCTGCACGGGCCAGTCGGATTCGAGTTCGGGGCTGCTGACAGCCGCATCCGAGGTGGCAACAGCAGCAGGAGTAGCAGCAGTAGCAACAGCAGCGGAAGCAGCGGCAGCAGCAGCATTGGATTAGACGGAGCGGTGCTGATGGGTGATGAGGGGTTGCAAGGCGATAGGGTCCGTGAACCGATGCGACTGGGAGAAGCTGGAGAAAATGACATAGATGATGTGTGGACACATGAAGAGGCTCTTACATGGGGTGATGCCGGGAGGGCTGACTGGAGCGACACAGAGGAGTGGGGAGGCACTGAAGAGTGGGGGAACGGAGCCGAGTGGGGAGACAAAGAGATGAGGATGAACAGAGAGAAGTGGGGGGACACGGAGGAATTGAAGGATCGAGAGGAATGGGGAGACACGGAGAAGTGGAGGGGAGGAGGGGACCGTGGGGGGGCATTGGAGGCCAAAGCACAGTCCCAGGTGCGCAGCGAAGGCTCTGACCTGCCGGGTCTTGTGTTTGCGGATCAGCGAGGCGACCTCGGGCAAGAAGAGCAGCACGCGGGGCTGCCATATGCCGTGGGGCTGGCGTCCGTGCAGCAGCCGCTGGACCTGCTGTGGGAGGAGGAGCTCATGGGGGAGGAGTGGCAGGGTGGGGGGGAGAGGGCGGGGGAGGGCGTGGGGACGACGATGGGATTGGAGAGCGTAGGGGAGAGATTACGAGAGGAGGGAGGGGAGAGGGAGGGGGGTGGGAGGAAGAAGAGGGAGAAGGTGATGAAAACGAGAGTTGTTGATCTGGGCAGGTTGAAGGAGAAGCTAGAAAGGTTTTGCGAGGAGCAGGGGCTGGAGCCGGGCACTATGCCAACGAGGGGGATTTTGCGGGCAGCCCGGCGATCGGACATTGAAAAGGATATTCAGTTTGCAGGGGGCGTGCATGCTGTTGCACTGAGGCTCAGCGTGCAAGTGGCAAGGAAACCAAGAGGCTACTGGGATGATCCAGCGAATCTGAAGCAAGAGGTGAGAACAAGGATAACAGGGATTATGCGTAAAGGCATTTCCCACTATCTGGCTAGCTTAATTTCTCCTTTTCTTCTCTGGTCCTGGCAGGTGCATCAGTTTCAGGCGGAGTTCAACCTGCCAAGCAACAAGATGCCGTCACGCAGACTTTTACAGAAGCACGGTCAGTTTCTTTGTTTGCCCAACTTAGTACCTTCGTGCATGCCTCTTCATTGCATGAGCCTGGAAGTGCATCTTTCACATCTCGTGTTTTTTTTGGGTATCGTTTTGTATCACCAGGGAGAGGGGACTTGGCAAGGACATTTGAAAAATGGGGAGGATTGCATGAAGTGGCGCGGATGCTTGGTCTCACCCCTAGATTCAAACAACCTCGCAAGCCAAGATCAGACAAAGCAGTTGCTGCTGGTACACAATCGGATGGAAATATGGAGTCTAAAGTGACGTCTGGAGGCAAGGCCTTAGAAGATGAGACGGAGGGGTCGTCGTCAGACAAAAGAGAGAAAGTGAAGAAAGATTATCCAATCAAGGCTGCAGTGCCTAACAAGTCCAAGAAATGGTACTCCATTACAATTGAGGAGACTAGTGATGAGGAGACTGAGTTGTAGGTATTTATTTTCATTAAGTGATCAATGCTGGTTTAGGGTGTATCAAATGCTTACCAGCAAGAATTCCTCTCGTCGCAGTGAAGATGCTTGTGGTGTGACTGGCACGTCGGCGCAAGCCCAGCGACTGGTATAATCCCCAGGCCCCCAACCTCAGCACAACCCACTTTCGAGCTAGGTTTCTGGCGTTTTTGCCATCAATTCTCATCTCACTGCTTGTACTAACAGGATAGGTGATTAATTCTAGTGATCATTTCTGCTCCCTGCAAGCACATGGGGTTCCGCTGCGCTGATTCCTCCTAGCGTTACGATTGCAGATTGCTGATAACAGAAACAAGTTTCCCTCTTATTTCTCCGTAGACACTTTTATCTCGCATCAGTCCGCCAAGATCGTTCCATGGCGGGTCGAGGAAGAGCAATGGCTGGCGTCGGCGGAAGAGCAAACCCCCCAACCCCCGACTATCAGCCACAGCACCTCATCCGCCCGCCGCTTCCCCCCGGGCCCGCACTCATCCCTGGCGGACCACCCGGGCAGGTGATTATCCGCCATCCCCCCCCCCTCCCCCGACTATGCTGCTCCCCGTGGGTGCGGGGAGTCTGGAGGCGAAATTTGCGGCGCAGCATGGGGAGATCCAGCAGCTGCTGACGGAGAATCAACGGCTGGCAGCGACGCACGTGGCTCTTCGCCAGGAGCTGGCGGCGGCGCAGGGCGAGATTCAACGGACGAAAGCGACCCTGGCGGCGGTGCAGATGGAGAAGGATCAGGCGGTGCGCGGAATCATGGAGCACAAGGCCAAGCTCGAGGCGGACCTAAGAGGCGTGGGTGAGTGGAAATTCAAGCCGCACCCCTGGATATTAATCAGTAAATCATTTTTTTATTTTCATTTCTCCGCAAGCTTATTTTACAAATCTCTCCACCTCTTTCTGTTTTAGGCTTTCCTCATCCCCCAAACCTTCCGCACCCCTCCCATGTCCCCCGCTGGTCCGCGCAGAGCCTCTGCGCGCGGAGCTGCATCGTGCGCGCATGGAGCTGCAGGCGCTGCAGGCGCGCGGGGGGGAGGCGGAGGCGGGGCGCGCGGAGATGCAGCGGCAGATGGGTGCGATGGGGGGCGACATGCAGCGCATGCGGAGCGACATGGAGGGCATGCGGCAGGAGCTGATGCAGGCCAGGTTGGTGGGGGGTTGGGGGGGAGGGGGGGAAGGGGGATGCGGGGGAAGGGGGATGCGGGGGGATTTAGGGGGTGGGAGGGGGGATTGAAAGGGTGGGGTAGCGGAATGTTATGGGGCACAGGAAGGGAGGGCGGAGTGTGGTATGGGTCGAGGAGTGGGCGGGTGGCAGCATGCAGAGAGTTGGGTCAAGGGGATCGCCCCCTGGCGAGCTGTGGTCAGGGTGACTGCCCCGGGCTCTAGGCCGCGGGAACTCGTGTAGCTTGTGCGTGCCCCCGGTCTCCTTTGCCCCTTGATAAAAAACACACCCTTCCCTCCCCCCCACGGCCCCTCCCCCCCTTGTGTTGGTGTTACGTGCAACTGCCGGTGCTGCTGCTGGTGCTGTCGGTGCTGGTGGCGGTGGCGTGGGCGCACGGGGTTGCAGGGAGGCGGCGGAGCGGGAGAGGAAGGCGGCAGTGGAGGCGAGCGAGCAGAGGGAGAAGGCGGAGAGGAGCCTCGAGGCCACGGCCAGGGAGGTGGACCGGCTGAGAGCGCTCATGGGGCAGCCGCAGCAGCAGCAGCAGCACCATGGTGAGGTTTTTCTTGGTCTCTCTCTCTGTATATGCTTCCAAGAGTGAATCAGGGTTTTTTAACCTAGCTTGGATTCCGGTGACATTACCATGTCCCTCACACTGGGCCACACGTGGAGTTATATTTTTATTCGTTGAACCAGCTGTTCGCATCAACCGCCCAATGCTCTCCCACCACTTGCACGTCCGTACGCTCACTGCATAGTCACCTGCCGGGAACCAAAGCCACACAACCGTCAGTAGCAATCCCGCTTCTCCTCGCAAACCCTCCAACCCCCTGCACCAGTGTATCCGGGGCAGCAGTCGTACCTGGGGGGCGCAGCACTGCAGCAGCCGCCATGGGCGCAGCAGATGGGGCAGCAGCAGTCAGCGGAGCAGCAGCAGGCATCGCAGCAGAATGGGGTGCTGGGCGCGCCTGCACAGGCTGCAGCAGCGCAGCCAGCAGCAGATGGGGCCCTGGCTGCTGCAGCAGGGGGGGCGGGAGCAGGAGGAGCAGCACCAGGTGCTGCGGCGGCTGCCGGCGGTTCTGCCGCTGATGCTGGTGCTGGCGCTAGCGCTAGCGCTGGCGATGCTGCTGCTGATGCTGGTGCTGCTGGTGTGGGGGATGCAGTGGCGGAGTGTGGGTGGACGGAGCACGCAGCACCGGACGGGCGACCGTTCTACTACCACGCGGCCACCAACACGTCCGTGTGGGAGAAGCCGCCCGAGCTCGCCCAGGCCGAGGCCAAGAAGGCCGACGTCCAGAAGGCAGCCGCCGCTGCCTCTGCGGGTGCTGCTGGTGCTGGTGCTGGTGGTGCGGCTGCTGGCGGTGGTGCCAGTGCCGGTGGTGCTGGTGGTGCTGCGAATGGTAGTGTTGCGGGTGCTGAGGCGGGAGGGCAGCAGAAGGAGCAGCAGGATGGGGGAGACAAGGCGCCACAGCAGCAGGAGAGCAGCGGAGGTGAGTTGTGGTTGTGATGAACAGTTTGGGAGGCAGGGCAGTCACTTGGTGGCACTCACCCACACGTCTATTTCTGGCCCACTTTCTCTGCTCTCCTCTTTCCGCTGCAGTGAGGCTGCTGGTCAATGCAGTGCTTTACTCCCCCTTTCCCCCTCCTCTCACCTGCTCCCTCCCTCACATCCCCGGCAGAGACCCCCTTGGCGGTGTATGGGCTGCCGGATGGCTACAGCGAGCGAACGGCTCTCACCACCCTTCTTGTCGTCCCCCCTTCCCCTCCTCTCTCCCCTCCTTCCTCTCCCCTCCCCCCCCCCCCCCTCTTCTTTCACACATGGCAGTGACCCCCCTGGCGGTGTACGGGCTGCCTGACGACTTCACAGAGCGGCAGCTGGTGGATCTCTTCCGCACCTACGGCACCGTGGTGGCCGTGCAGGTGGCGAGAGATGGCCAGAGGGGTCTGGGCTACGGTGAGTGGCGGTTTGGGGGAAGACATGGGGTATGGTGAGTGGCACTTGATTTTGGGAAACTTGTGCGTATAAGGAAAGAATATGACTTGTTTCTATTACCCCTCTCCGGCACCTTCTTCATGGCAGGCTATGTCCATCTGGACTCACCCACGTCAGCTGACATTGCCACGTCAGCTCTCAACGAACATCAGATCGGCAACCGCAGGCTGAGAGTGGAACGCTACACTCCCCCTGCCACGTCAGCTCCAGCCAGCTCAGCGCAGGCCACGTCAGTCCAAGCCAACCCAGCACCACTTGCCACTGCTGTTGCTGCTGGGAGTGCAGGTGCTTCTCCTGCTCCTGCTGCTGCTGCTGCTGCTGGTGGCGCTGCTGCTAATGCAGCTGCTGGTGCTGGCCCAGGGATAGGCGGGGTGGTACCAGGACAGTATCCCGTTGCTGCTTACAGCTTGAACCAGCAGACGCAGCTTCAGCCGCAGCTCCAGCCGCAGCTGCAGGCACAGCTGCAAGCACAGCCACAGGCACAGCAGTACCAGCCACAGTACCTTAAGCAGCAGCAGCAGCAGTTTCCGCCCTCTCACCTCTACCCCCCTCAACAGCAGCATCTGTACTTGCAGCAGCAGCAGCAGCAGCAGCAGCAGCAGCAGCAGCAGCAGCAGCAGCAACAACAACAGCAACAGCAGCAGCAGCAGCAGCAGCAGCAGCAGCAGCAGCAGCAGCAGCAGCAGCAGCAGCAGCTACAGCAGCAGCAGGGAGGGTACCCCCAGCAGCAGCGCATGCCGCCGCCTGGCCAGCCCTTTGACCCGCAGCGACCCATTATCCGTTTCCCTCCCCCAGCTGGCCCGGGCTTAGTTGGGCCTGGGGGCATGGGAGGGCCTGGGAACATGGGTGGGCCAGGAGGGATGGGTGCTCCGGGGGGAATGGGTGGGCCTGGAGCAATGGGTGGGCCTGGCAGTGGCCCTGGTGTGCTTGCTCCCAATCCTGGAGCTGCTGCTGCGGGGGGCCCTGGCATGGGTGGTGGTGGGGTAGGGCCTGTTAGGCGAAACGACTTCGGGCCAGGAGGGTATGCAGGCTACCGTCCGTATTGAGATATCGTTTATGCTGTGACGTCGCTGCGTTGAGGTCCTAGTGGAAATATAGTTCAGCCCTCTTTTTTTTTACCTCGATTGTGTGAGACTGCTAGTGCTCCTTTTTAGGGACTTCATGTTTGGGCTGTTGTAAACCGTTGGAAAACGGAGAATAGGTACAGTCCCGCAACCTATTTCGATTTTTAACCCTTCTTGGGCCCCGCATGTCGTCAGACGAACGCTTCCTGGGGTGTTCCAGGTCATGAGGGCGCTGCCAAAGGAGGCCTGTGGTTCGCATCGCATCGCACAGAACCCACGCACCAGACAATATCAAGCAGTGCGATTGTGTTTCCCTCGTATTCTGCTGCGGTTGTGTCGCACAAGGGAACTCCACCCCACCCCACAGAGAGCTGAACAGTCTTCACCTCCCTCGAAATTTCCGGTTTCCGCGCTGACTCCCTCCTCCTGACCTGGATTTATCTGTGGCTTGCAGCATCATCACCAACAGGCAAACCAGCCAACAAGCCAGCCATGTCTCCTCCCAGCTCCTGTTCTGTAGCTCTGGGCTTGGCAAGGTTTTCAATGTTCTATATTCTTGTCTGGAAGTACGGACAGAACCCTCGCTGGTCGGAAACATTCTGCCATCTGTCCTTGCCGAATCTAAGGTCGTCCCGATATGCACTAGAAGCAGGCATCTCGAGTGGGATGGTCAGTGCGCGACTTCGCTCAGGTTTCATATGCTCGTATTTTCCGACGGCTGCGAATTTCCGACGGCTCGAATCATCTGCTGTCCCAGGCAGTAGCTGAGTTGCATTCTTTCATTTTTTTTTTCACTAGCATTGATGGCGGAAGCGGTGGTCATAGCGCGGATGCGGAAGAAAGAAGCGGAGGAGCATGCGTCGCTGACTCGCTCTCGCAGCCTGCTGGAGGATAAGTTCGGCGCGTACGAGCGAGCGAACCGTCAGATGTGGGCTCACTCCTCATCTCTAGCTGAGACTTCAGGGTTAGTCATGAAATATCCTGGGTGTTGCGTCGGTCTCTTTCTCGTCGAGTCAGCCGCATATGCCGATTTGCGAATAAGCTTTCATGGACTTGTTGAGAGTTTGTTTCATGGTTTCGCATTGACTTTGGAGGCTCTGCACGATTTCTCTCAGGACTGGTCTTGCTGGCTTTCCTGTCTCTGCCGGACGTATGTATGGCGTTCTTGAAGTCCGTCAGCTCCTGCAACTCGAGCCGGATGTTCCCCCTCCACCTCCTGCTTGCACCCTCATTGTCTCCAGAGCTTCTCCGGATGCTAACGATTCGAAACCGTTGTCGCGAAGTCCGCTCGGCCAATCAGCGCTTTATCCTCACGCCGTATCCGATTCGCACGCGCTGTCGCACGGCCACGGTCGCCAGGAAGCGGACAGGGGGGACGGATCTCACAGATGGGTTTCCTGGAGCAGCGCGGATCGCAACGGCGCGGAGGAGAGGGAAAGAGAGGCCAGGGGAAGGGAAGGCGGCCCCGAACGGGGAGACGACGGTAACGCACAGTTGAGCAGCAACAGCGGGGGAGAGAGACGCGCGGGGGATGGTGGAGGAACTGGCGAGGAGAGACGCCGAGATGGCAGAAACGGCAAGACGCAGGGTTGCCTTGGCGGAGCAATGTGGCGGAAAGGAGGCGATGACGCCCGGAATGGCGTTGAATCCACTTACCAGTGCTGGGGGAAGGGTTGGCCGAGGGGAGAACGGAGAGAAGCGGATAGCAATGGAGGCGATGATGGTGATGGTGATGGTGATGGTGATGGTGGTGATGGAAATGGTGGGGGGGAGAGGGAGTGCGAGGGTGGGGAAGCCGGTGGGGAGGGCGTGGTGGCGGAGGGAAAGGATTTCACATGGGAAGAAGAAGAAGATGTGATTCTGGCGAACGAGCTGGAGGAGATCGACAAGGAGGTCGTTCAAGGTGCGTGCTTGTTGCTTGGTTGCACATGCTATCAGAGTGTGAGAGCTTTTGGCTTTGGCTGTGGTCTTGGTGCGTGTGCGAGCGTGGTGTGAGTTGCCTGGTCTCCACCATCCATCGTCAGCATCCCCCTCCCCGTGCCTTGTTCTGGCCCTGTCCGTTTCCTGCGTGGTGCACTCAGAGGTGTTCAACCGTGTCAGCTTCCTAAGGCATCAGCTGCAGCACTACCGCGACTTGGCCGGCTTCCTGCTGCTCATGGCGCTCTTCATCACCATTGTGTATCTCCAGGCCGACTCCTCCCGCAGCTACCAAGTCACTTCTGCACACTCCGTCCTCATCCCCACTGTGAGTGAATCGCTTTTGTCACAACTTATGATCACCCCTCTCGTTCCCCAAGCATATGTCAATTATGAGTCCAATTTCATGCTTTACTCCAGGGCTTTGCACCGGATTCGTCCAACCGCTTCGCAGGAGCGTCTGACTTCTACGGGTGGCTGAACGGGAGCATCATCCAGCAGTTCTGGCAGGACCCGCCCTGTGGGGATGGCCTCTGCGACCAGCCGTTTGAGTTCCCGGCGTTCGGTCGGTTTGGCTGCGAGGCGGACTGCGGCACGTTCCCCAACCTGACGGCCGTCTCCATCCACTTCACCACGTCCTTCACCTCCGCGGAGGCCCTGGCTGCGGCCTCGTGGAACCTGTGCATGCAGAGCCCCATCTCGCTGTGCTGGCATGCGCTCCCACAGCCCTTCCCTGACCAACAAGCCCAGTTCTCCCTCGCGCTTGACATCCCCGATGGCGACTGGGCGCTGCTGCTCACAGCGCCCATGGGCGGCGTGCAGGGCGTGCTGCAGGCGCAGAAGCCGGGCTTGGGGCATCTCAACGGGGACGTTACTATGGGCTCGAGTAACAGTGTCACGCTGGCCACGTGGGGCGGGTGCTTGGGAGGAGAGGGATTTTCGTGGAGTGATTTGAACGCCTCGCTGCTGCAACAAGACGGGGGAGAAGTGTGCCGACAGGTGTGTGCATGTAGAGGTGTGTGTTAATGAGTAAGTGGGTCTGTTTTAGCGAGTATGTGACAGTCTGCCTGTGTGGAATGTTCGCATGGAACCCTTCTCCCGTTCACGAGTGTGTGTCGGTGGTGATTTGTCTTCATGCAGTGTTTGTGTGCCTTCGTTTCACGTAAACCCCGCTTCTCTTTCCTTCCGTCCAGTCTTTCTAATAGCGTTTGATGTATCTCTGTGGTATGTCCAAGTTGCCATTCCGTTGTAACCCGGTACCCCCCTCATTTCCCAGGCGTGGGAGTCAGTGGCGCTGTGTCTGCAGTCTTTGTGTGCTGATTTCTTTCCCCCTATTTCCTCCCACCCCTCATTTCCCAGTCATGCGAGTCGGTTGCGGGGTGTCTGCAGTCGGCGTGTGGGCGGGAGGTGGCAGCAAGGGAGGTGGCCGGGGCGTTTGTGGATTGCGTCAAGATCTGCCGAGCGGCGCCAGCCACCGTGCTGCCATACGCCACCATGTCGTGCGTTCAGGTGACAAACACGGCAACACGGTTAGCGTTGGGCGGCAATAGCAACACACTGCCGTTGACCCACAGCATAAAGCGATTGCATCCATGTCTATTAAACCGACCCATTCCACTGTCTCTCCCTTGGCTGCAGATCGCAGCGCTCGAACCATCCCTTTTCCCCAATTCGCTCTGCACCAGTACGTACCGCCCTCCAGCCTTGCGGCCCTGGTCAGTCTGATGCAACTTCCTCTTCTGCATTTGTTTCTAAGCAAATTTCTAATGTGCTTCTGCTTAAAAAGGGGAAGCGCTTCAGTCTGATCGATTGCAGAGAGGAGTGTCTTGCTCTCTGGTGCTTCTGCACCGGTCTCCCAACCTTCCTCCACGTGTGGCAGCAAAAGCTCGTCGGCGAACTCAGGAGACTATTGCAACCACGACCACTGGGCCGGGACTGGCTGCTGCAGCCGAGGCGAGTGCTGCACACGCAGCTGGCGCAGGGGCGTCCAGAGGTGTGCGTTCACACATGGTGGAGGACGCGGATGGCGCTGCAACAGCAGCATATGCCATGGGGGCGACAGGGGATTCAAGCAACAGCAGCGACGCAGCAGTAGCCAGTGGTATCAACGCCAGCGGAAGCAACGGCAGTGGAGGCAGCGGTAGTGGAAGCAATGGCAGTGGAAGCAATGGCAGTGCTGCCGTGGCAGATTCCAGCCTGTTTCCGTCAACCAACCTCCCTGTTGAAGCAGCCATGCGTGAGTGAGAATGGATTTTGCTGTCAGCGTTGCGGGAAGGCTCTTGTCGGGCGCTCACCATCTGATTGCCTGTCTCTCATCCCCCCCCCTTTCGCCCTTCTCTTCACCCTCCCCTTCCCCTCCCCTTCCCCTCCCCTCCCCTTCCCTCTCCTGCCCCTGCCTCTCCCCTCAGAGCTCCCAAAGCTGGCAGCAGCAACGAGGGCATGGGAACTGCTCGGATCCACGGAGCCCCAGCGCCTGAGAGCTTTGCAGGTGGCGGTGTCGCGCGCCATCTACACGATGGTGAAGGACAGCTGCCTGGCGGGGCCGTACATGCTGGGCCTCTCCGTGCGCTACCGCCTGCGCCTCACCGCCTTCCTCTGCACGCTGCTGGGCGGCCCCGTGCTCGCCCAGCCGCTCTGCAAGTTCACCAACTCGTCGGGGCACCAGCTGCTGCACGCCCAGGAGCTGTTTGACCACCTGCGATACGTGCACAGGGGCGTGTAAGTGCTCACATGAAAGCTGAGAACAGAGTGGCGTCATGCTCCGGCCATCAGCCTTTCCTATATCTTGATCCATACCCCCCCACTACCCCCCCTCTCTTCAACCCTGTTAAAGCGCAGCAACAAAAAGGCGGTGTCATCGCAGCAGCTGCGCTGCTTCATCGACATCCTCATCGCCGCCGTGGAGTCCGCTTTTGAGTCGACTCAAAAGCTTCCCCCTCCCACACCCCCCACTCCCATCCCCCCCCTTCCCCCCCTCCCACCCCCCCTGGCCCCGCCTTCCTCGCGTGTGGCACAGCAACAACAAGGCGGTGTCGGCGCAGCAGCTGCGGCGCTTCATCGACATCCTCATCGCCGCCATGCAGTCCGTCACCACCATGGGGGCCGACGCTGCCGTCGACCTCTCCGCCTTCTTCCACCGCTTTGATGACGCCATCGTCAGCACCGACATCGCTGGCTGCTCCCAAGGTGAGTGCTGCGTCGCCTCAGTGGTCGTATACCCAGTCGATTCGTCACTGTGGATGGTGGACCTCTCCGCCTTCCTCCGCTCCACCGCTTCGACTCCGCCATCATCAGCACCAACGTGGTGGGCTGCTCCCAAGGCGAGTGCCTGCCTGCCAATTGTGCTGCTCACCTGACGTCGCGTTTCCATTCTGTGTTATTGTTTCGTGCCCTTCATCTCTGCTCTCTCGACCTGCCACCGTGCTTGTCTGCTCTCTGGATGTGCAGGAGGCACGTGGCTGCAGTGGCGCACGGGTGTGAAGCACAACACGACCATCCATGTGGGGGACAAGATCACGTGGGTGTGGGATGACGACCTCCCGCACTCTATCAGAAGTAAGCAGCCTGTCGGACCGAGCACATACAAGGAGGCGGAGTAGAGGAAGAGGGGAGGCGGAAGGGATGCCACTTACCTCGTTAGCGTGTCTCAGATTTCTGGGCCAGCCAGGCTGGTGTGACCATTGCTCCAATAAACCTCTCCCTTCAACCTTAAATACTTGCTACTCTCTCCCAAACCCTCCCATGGCGCCCAGTCACAGGCATGGGCGACGCCCCCACGCCCTTCTTCCCCGGCTTTGGAGGGCACCGCCTGGCGGTGTCACGCCTCTACCACTGCTCGCCAATGACCGTCGGGGAGGACGACGACTACGACGACCCCGTGCCCTGCGTGCTGCGTACGTTGCCTCCTGTCCCCTCCTGTGTGCCTTATGCACCCCGTCCCCCCCCAACCTAACCCCTGTTTTTCTCCTCCTGCCCCTGCTCACTCTGCTTCCGTCTCAATCCTTCTCTCCACCTCACTCGCTCTCATTGCCCTCTCCCGGTCCCTTTCTCCCCATCCTCCTCAGATCTCCCGGGAGCCGCCAACACCACGTTCACGTACACCAAGGTGTTCACCCAGCCAGGCACCTACCACTACGAGAGCGGCGGGCAGGACGTGGGCGAAGCAGGGCTCACCTCCTCCGCTTCCTCCTCTGCCTCTGCCTCCTCTGCCTCCTCCTCTGCCTCGTCTGCTGTGGGTGGTGTTCTGCCGCCCGCCATGTCTGGCATGGTCACGGTGCTCGTGCCACCACCAGAGCCGAAAGGTAGGCGTGCTTGCACGCATTTGTTGATTTTGAAGAGTCACTACTTCCCGTGGTCACTCGTCCGGCTCGCTTACCTCTCCGTCTCCCAATCTTTCTCCACCCCCCCTGCCCCCCTCCAGACCCGGCCTTCCAGTGCGCCCCAGGCTGTGTGATCCACATGCTGGCAGACGGGGTGTGCAACCCGCCCTGCAACACGCCTGGCTGCGTCTTTGATGGTGGCGACTGCGGGTGCATTGACTCTGTCCTTGGCCCCGGCTTCTGTGCGTGCCCCCCAGGGCACGCCAGGCGGCACGATGGAGGTGAGGCGGGGTGGGGGGTGGGAGGCTGGAAAAGGATCTGGGGAAGGATGGGCAAGCGGCTTCTGTGTGTGCCCCCCGGGGTATGCCATGCGGCACGACGGAAGTGAGGCGGGGTGGGGGTTGGGGGATGGGAGGGGGGGGTTGGACAGGGATTTGGGAAGGAGGGGTAGAACGGCTTCTGTGCGCGCCCTCCAGGGTATGCCACACGGCACGCCGGAGGTGTGGGGGAGGGGGGGGGGAAGGGGGAAAGGGGGGAGGAAAAAGGGGGTAGTGGGTGAGGGAGGGGGAGGATGTTATTTCGATGGATGGGGACAAGGAAGTGTGGGTCCAGTGGGCAGCATGGCGGTGGCTCCGATAGGGGTTTTTTGCTGGACTTCTTGCGCTACCTTCTCCGACTGCCCCCTCAGCTCTGCACTGCATGCTCCATCCCCCACTTCCCCCCCCCCCCCCACCACCCCCGCTCTCCCCCCCGACCCACTCCAATTCCCTCCCGTTTGACCTCCCACAGCGTGCTGCATGTCATCGGCGGTGGGTTCTGACCTGCACTTCCCCTTCTCGCTGCAGCGCTACGGGCCCAACTACACCGAGAGCAACCACGCCTTCGCTGCTGAGAGGAATGCTCCGCTCACACGATTTGCGGCTGAACACAACAGGTAGAGGCCCGGGATGCAACAGGTAGAGGCCCGGGATGCAACAGGTAGAGTTTGGGGATACAACGAATGTGCTCCCTCAATTAACTGAAATTGCCGTGATTACCAAGAACCAATGCCCAGTCAACCGTGATATGCCTTGCTCTTCCCTTGTGCCCTCTTTCCAGGCTCCTCATTGGCATGTTTCTGTATCAGGAGCGATGGGGCGTCAAGACATGTGATCCCGACAAGTAAGCCACAGCCCTCTATGTGCTGTCAATGGTCACCATGTCACCCTGTCTATCTCTACGTTTGTCCTTTTGCCCCCTTTGTAACGGTTCCAACTGTGGTTCCACCTTCCGTCCTGGCTGCTTGTTGTGTCCTCTCCTCTACCATGCTAACTCCTCCCCTACCTCCCACCCCCCACCATCCTCTCCCTCCTCCCCTTCCTCCCCCGCTTCCTCCCCCCCCAGTCTGCTGCACCTGGCGGGGTGGTGCAGCAACGGCACGTCCAGGGCGCCCTTTGGCGTCAACCCGCACTTCCTGCCCACCTCCTCCCTCTACGACCCTGTGGCGGCCGCAGCCACTGCTGCCAGCTCTATGGGGAGCGCCAGTGCCGGTGGCAGTGGTAGTGTTGGTGACCAAGCTGTGCTCAACCCCCAGGGCCTGCCGTACGGATTTGAGTACCCCGTGGTGAGTGGGCTCAATGACACAACTGTATATGCTCTGCACCGTGCATTATTGTTTGATTACATTCCTCATGATACTCATACGACGGCCTGGAGTGCTACCCGCTGGTGTTTGACATCAGCCTGGACCTCCAGGGCTCTGTGGACGGGCTTTATATGTCCGCCTGCTGATAGTCTGATGGTGTTCCGCATCCCGTGCATCCTATGCATTCGCAGGACGGCCTGGAGGGCTACCCGCTGGTGTTTGACATCAACCTGGACTACCAAGGAGCAATGAACCGCCTTCGGTACCTGGTGGACGGGGCGTACATCGACAACGCCACGCGCCAGGTGGAGGTCTCCTTCATCACGCACAATGGTGAGGCGCACATGGTGCTTGCTCCCTTGATGCGTCACGTCACATGCACGTGAACCTACATGGTGAAACTTTGACAACGCCACGCGCCAGGTGGAGGTCTTCTTCATCACTCACAACGGTGAGAGGCACCGATGCCGCTGTGCTTCATGGTTGGACTCATCGCATGCACATACATGCAGTAGTGCCACGTGCAGTAGTGCCACATGCAGTAGTGCCACATGCATGTCCATACTGTCTTGACACTTCCGGATCAGCACCCGCTGGTCTTGCCTGTGCTGACGTAGACTAGTTCTTCCATGCCCACTCCTCGCTGCAACCTGTCTCACCTGCACGTCCCCTGCCAGGCGAGAGCGACACGCTGGTGCTCACCCGCGTCACAGCGGTGGTCGACACGGGCGGCGGTCTCGTCACCTCCTTCTCCTCGCTCTCCGTCCCGACCGTCTTCTACTCCGGCTCCCCCGCCTCCATTCTCCTCGTGGTGCTGCAAGTCGTTTATGTCTTGGCGCTGGTGTGGAACGGGGTGGAGGAGGTGGTGGAGCTGCGGGGGCGCGTGCGGAGGGAGGGGTCGGTGCTGAGCTACCTGCACTCGGGCTGGAACTGGATCGACATGGCCTCTCTCCTGCTGCAGGCGCTCGCGCTCATCATCTGGGTTGTGCTCTGGCGGGCCGTGGCGGCCAACGACATGGACCCGCGCTACGACGTGTACGAGTCGCTGCTGGAGGTGCCGCGCTACTGGCAGGTGGCGGGGCGCGCGGAGGGCTTCCAGGCGGCCATGGGGGAGTACTCGGACCTGCAGATGCTCATCAACTGGCGCTCATTCTACTTCGCGTTGCAGGGCATCAAGTGCGTGGGGTGCTCTGGTCGTGTTGAGGGGTAAAGGCGAACTGGATTCGGTCCTTCTCTACAGCCCACTGCTCTTAAGTGTTTTGCAGGAGTCGACCCTGTTATCTAGTCCATGTCCGCCCTTCAGTGCTCGTCCCTCTCGTCATTCCCTGCGCCTATCCAACCCACACTTCGCGTCCACCCCCGCCCCCCCAGTCTCTTCCTGCTCATGGTGCGCCTGCTCAAGCTGATGGACTTCCAGCCCTACCTGGGCGTCATCACTCGCTCGCTCGCCCTCGCCCTGCCCTCACTGCTGCACTTCTTCCTGCTCGCCTTCATCGTCTTCTTCTGCTTCTCTCTCTATGGCTACCTGGTCTTTGGGGGGAAGATGGAGCAGGTGAGCTGTTGGGGGTGAAGCATTAAAAGCACACCAGTTTTTTTTTTTTTTTTTTTTTTTTCCCTCCTTTAGCTACAGCATGCAAAAAATTGATGTTTCTTTCCAATACTCTCTCTCATGCCGGTCTCCAGTTCTCGACCCTCCCCGAGTCGCTGTTCACGTGCTTCCTGATCATTCTGAACGAGAATGCGACGGCGTACTTCTTTGAGCGCATGCACGGGTGGGACCTGGTGGCGGGCATGCTCTTCTTCGTCGCCTTCATTCTGCTGCTCGTCTTCATCCTCTTCAACTTCCTCATCGCCATCATCGTCGACGCCTTCATGACCATCAAGGTCAGTCGTGCATTCAGGACCATCAAGGTCAGTCGTGCATTCAGGACCATCAAGGTGAACAGAAGGACGTCAGGTTGTTTTTGGGGGGAAATGGGAGGTGGGGCAAAACCTTCTCAGTATGAGCCGCTTTCTGTGCCATAACATCCACCTGTATCATCCCGTCTCCTTCCGCCCCTTGTTCCCCCCCCATCCCCCCCCTCTCTCAGGAGACCCAGGAGCTGGCCACATCCATCGCACAGGATGTAGCGGGGATCATCCGCTACCTCTTGAGCCGCCTCACGGGGCGCTACGCCTCCTACAGCGCCATCCTGCACCAGCTGCAGGCGCTGGGGGCGCGCGACACGGAGCGGGACGAGGCGCAGCGCCGCATGCGGCGCTACCAGTCGCTGCAGCGGCGGGCCAAGACCGTGGTGATCCGCGGGTTCTGTGGGCGCAAGGCTGCTGAGGTGGAACGAGCCAAGACGATGGCGCGGGGTGGGGCGATGGCGCTGGCGGCACATCAGAGGGTGCTGCGCGTGAAGGGGCAGAGCATCGATGACATCTCCCTCGCCATGATCTTGCAGCGACGCAGAGAGAGAGAGGTGGGGTGGCTCATTCAGTTAGGCCCACTCCCTGAAGTGGGCTTACTCCCTGACTAGCTGCGAAGGTGATTCACTCTTGTAACCATAGTTGCTGTCGATGGATACAATCCAGTCTTTTTCAACCGGCCTTGTGCCAGGTTATTCAAACCCTTCATCTCCCACTCTGCCCCATCAGGTGCGGCCATACTCACTCCCGGGTAGCTCGAACGAGGAGGACAATCCCGATGACACCACTGCTGTTGTGGAGGAACTTTCTCAGCAGCTTCTGCGGCAGCTGGGTAAGACAGAGACAACTAACGCCGCACCTAAGCCAGCCACGAAGCCAAAGCCGGGCCTTCACCAGATCCAGGTACTGACTGATGCTCCTGCTCCCGCTGCTGCTGCTGCTGCTGCTGCTGCTGCTGTCGCCCATGCTTCTCTCGTGGGTATGCCAGCTACTGTGCGAGCCCACACTTTTTTGTTTGCTTCTCTTCTCTGCCCTTGCCATATCTCACCCTGCCCTCCCCGTTTCCACTCCCCCTGGATGGCAGGAGGAGTTGAATCGCTCGCGGGAGTCGATGGAGGAGCTCAAGGCCATGGTGGCGTCACTGCTGGCTGCTGGCGTTGGTGCTTGCCCCCACTGCTCGCACTGCCCTCACTGCCCACTTGCGACCGCCAGCCATAAGCCCACCACACTCACCATCGGCACCACCGCCAGCCCTACCAGTGCAATCACTACTGCCATGAAAGCTGCTCCACCTCGTGCTGCTACCTTCTCTGCCCATGCTGCATCTGCAGCACTCAATGCACCAGCGCGGCTGCCCCGTCTGTCCACATACCCAATCCCTCAAGCGAATCGGACCCGTGTTTGGGGGAGCCAGGCTGAGTCCACCTTTAGAAGTGTGGAAGAGGTCTTTAGAGATGGGGTGGAAGGGAGATATGAGGGAGGAAGTACTAGTAAGGGGGGTGCAATTGGCACATGTGACAGCCTTGATTAATAAATTATTGAACCACACATTTTTTTTAATCCCGAATTTTACCCGGATGCCAATGAGTTTACATGATTGAGGTGTTGTTGGATGGAAGTTTTTCCCCATGTTAATTACGTTGCATTATATGAACTACAATAACTATATGTATTCGCGCTGTTCGTTTTTTTAGAAGACCGACTATGTAAGCTGAAACTTGCTGTCAGATTGTCGAATCGTCGTGATTGGAGCTACTGATGACAATGTTCGACGATGACGGCACATCGTCACAGCTGGCCCACTCATGATGGCGCGTGACGCTGACCGACGCAGGATTACTGTACAGTATTTGTCAGACCTTGCAGAATCTTGGGAGGGGATGAGGCCCCTATGGCACTTGGGTTCATTAATGACGGAGAGTCGGTTTTCTTACCACTCTGTGTCAGGCGCTCTCACGATCTCAGAGTCTGTCCAGAGTGGAGCGTCGACATCCAACGACATCCGTTGTGGAATGTCGAGAGATATTTACCGTCGATGAAGATGGATCCATGGATCGCATCCCTCGACATCCCCCGACGTCCCTCGACATCCCACTCTGGACACGCTCTCATCCTTCCTAGCTCCCGCCCGAACAGCACCCTCGAGTCCAGCGAAGCGTCTTGTGTAGTGTAGACACTGTGGCGGACTACTGTACTGTTGACCACGGGTCTTTTCCAGCAAGGGGTTGGTTTGGGGTAGGCTTGGAAAAGGCTAGAGAGGAGGATTTGTGGTGGAGAGTGGCTTACTTGGAAGCACACACCACAGGCCCACGCAGCACAACAGCCCGTTGCGGCCTGAGGAAGATTTTATTGCGCCTGGCGTGTTCACGTTGTATCTTTTTTCGTGCATCGCTCAGAGCATCACTCATTGCAACCGCTCGGCTCCGCACATGTCGCCACCACTGCAGCGAGAGAGCTGTCACGATCTCGTGGACGAACGGCGTCTTATCGCCCGAGCCATGGAGAGAGGTGCGACCGTCGAGACTTCAGGGCAGCACCAGAATCCACCAGCAGCAGTCAGCGAAGGCAGCTACGGCGCGGGAAAGATGAGCCAAGGCGACCATCTGAGTAGTACTATTGGCTGCCTCCAGCCAGGCGTTGCGCTTCTTCTTGCGTCCCTCGACCCACTCGCCGTGACTACCGCTCGACGTCTCCCCGTTAGTAGACGCAGACCAGCAGACCGCCAGACGAAGCAGCAGCATACGCGATCCTGGATCCCACAGCACGTGCACCAGTCGCCCTGTAAAGCAGCCTGCAAGCCGACAGTATTCTATCCATCGGTACTATAAGTAGTGTCAGCTCCGTATCCGTCACTCGAGTGACTTATGTACAGCCCCCTCACTTCTCCAGCTACAGTCTGAGCGCGTGTATATTCCGACGTAGCCCCCCCTGCTGTAGCCGCGCGGTTCCGTCGGGGATGCGACCTGAACATCGGGACTGACGCGTGGCGTCGCGAAGAGCCGATTCTTCTGAAAGCGAACTGCGCAGACTCCGCGAAATCGGATTCGAGAAAGCGGCGTGCTTCGTTTTTTCTCGGGAAACCCTAACTTCCGTCTCAGTCGCAGGCTACGCTCAGCTTTACGAGACTGAAACGCGGATTTCCGTCCGCGTTTCTCAACGAGACTTCCGTCCTTTTCTGGCTGTCAGATGCGTGGTCGCGTAGTGGACCAGAAGCACAGCGGCGTTCATTCGTAGCGCCATATCCCCTCCGTCCTCACGGCCGGTGACGTGAGAGCGGCGGACTGAGAGGCATCATGGCGGAGGCGGTGGTGATCGTGCGCAACCGCAAGAAGGAGGAGGAGCACGCGGCGTCGCTGACGCGCTCCACCAGCCTCCTGGAGGACAAGTTCTCCGCCTACGAGCGCGCCAACCACCAGATGTGGGCGCGCTCCGCCTCCACCGCTGGTCCAAGGTCCGTCGCACCGCTCACAGACCCGTCGCTGATGTCCGTCACTTCCAGATGTACCGCCAGGGCCTCCATCGGACCGCGTGATTCGCCCGGCAGACTCATTGGTTTGCTTTGACTCATGCTTATTTGGTTGAAGGAGTTCTTCCCCGCGCCCTCTCGAATCCTTAGCTTTGTCCGCACCATCTCCCCCTCCCATTCCCCGCCATTCACGACCCCAGTCACGACCTTCCTCGCCCAATTCACGGGCTTCCGCTCGTGCGGCCCTGGCGGGAGAGGAAGGCGGGCGGAAAGAAGCGCGGACAGCGGGAGCGGAACGGTGAGAGGGCCAGCGGAAGCCCCGGAGAGCCTGGGCAAAATGGGGGAAGCAGCGACGACGGGGGAAGCTGCGGGGATTTCTGGTGGGGCGGAAGCAGAAGGCGGAGAGCTACGGAGGGTGTGGGGGCGGAGCGCATGAGCGACGGGGAAGCGGAAGAGAGCGGGGGAGAGCGACGCATTGACGCGACGAGTGGCAGTAGTAGCGCGAGTGGGAGTAGTAGCAGCTCGGTACCGACCGGCAACGAGGGGGGTTGCGGAGACAGGAAGCGGGAAGCGGCCGTAGCCACGAAGCTGCAGGGACGGAGCTTGCACGAGGACGACGATAATAGCGACGGGGACAGTAACGAGGGCGACTATATCGGGGATGAGGCGGAAGAGCTGGCGGGGCTGAAGGGGCTGGCGGCGGAGGAAGCAGAAGGGGAGGCGGAGGGCGACGAGGCGATCTTCGACGACGAGCTGGAGGAGATCGACAGGGAGGTCGTGCAAGGTGCGTGCCTCCCCTGCCGTGCAAGGTGCGTGCCTCCCCTGCCGTGCAAGGTGCGTGCCTCCCCTGCCGTGCAAGGTGAGTGCCTCCCCTGCCATGCAAGGTGCGTGCCTCCCCTGCCGTGCAAGGTGCGTGCCTCCCCTGCCGTGCAAGGTGCGTGCCTCCCCTGCCGTGCAAGGTGCGTGCGCGCACCAGATGTCTTTCCCTCCCCTCGCCCCCCCTCTCCTTCCCGCCCCCCATCTTTTCCACTTTCCTTCGCCCCACACAAATTTGTGCCGGAACCTACTCCGGGTGCTGACGTGTTCTGACGTTTGCACACATCTCCCTCTCCCATGGCCCCTTCTGTCCCAGTGCACCCCTGCTCCCCCGTGGCCGCGCAAACGTTTTCTGACCCCCGCATGTATCTCCCCTTCCCATCGCCCCTTCCACCGCCGTGCATCTCCGTTCCCCCGTGGGCTTGCAGACGTGTTTGACCGCGTGAGCTTCCTGCGGCAGCAGGTGCAGCACTACCGCGCGCTGGGCGGTTTCCTGCTGCTGATGGCGCTCTTCGTCACCATCGTGTATCTCCAGGCCGACTCCTCCCGCAGCTACCAAGTCACCGCCGCACACTCCGTCCTCATCCCCACTGTGAGCTCGTCATCTCCACTGTGAGCTCCTCATCTCCACTGTGAGCTCCTCATCTCCACTGTGAGCTCCTCATCTCCACTGTAAGCTGACTCGATTGAACGAAGCTATGCCTCATTGCTTCAGAGCGAGATTTGTTTGGCCGTCTCCCTTTAACCAAAACTTTTGCACGTCTGCGCCCTCATGCTTCCCTTCCATCAGAATTTTGCGGCGGATTCGTCCAACCGGTTCTCAGGAGCGGGCGAGTTCTACTCATGGCTGAATGAGAGCATCATCCAGCAGTTCTGGCAGGACCCCCCATGTGGAGACGGCACATGCGACCAGCCCTTTGAGTTCCCGGCGTTCGGTCGGTTCGGCTGCGAGGCGGACTGCGGCACGTTCCCCAACCTGACGGCCGTCTCCATCCACTTCACCACGTCCTTCACCTCCGCGGAGGCCCTGGCTGCGGCCTCGTGGAACCTGTGCATGCAGAGCCCCATCTCGCTATGCTGGCACGCGCTCCCACAGCCCTTCCCCGCGCAGCAGGCGCAGTTCTCACTCGCGCTCGACATCCCCGATGGCGACTGGGCGCTGCTGCTCACGGCGCCCATGGGCGGCGTGCAGGGCGTGCTGCAGGCGCAGAAGCCGGGCGTGGCTCGCCTGGCGGCGGGGGGAATGACGAACCTGGGGTCGTCTAATAGCGTTACGATCGCCACGTTTGGCGGGTGCGCGGATGGCGAGGGGTTCGGGTGGGCGAATGTGTCGGCGCAAGCAGAGGCAGAGGCGCTGGACACGTGCAGGGAGGTGAGAGGAGGGCGGATGCTTGCTGTGGATTATGAGGGGCGGCGTGGGATTTGGGTGGGGAGATTCAGGTGTGGATGGTTGAGTTACGGTTCTTGGGGCTAAATATGTGCTGTTTTGTGCCCTGTGTTTCCCTTCCCCTCTCCCTTCCTTCCCCCTCCCTCCCCTCTTTCTCCCAGGCGTGTGAGTCAGTGGCAGTGTGTCTGCTGTCCTTTTGCTCGAAGTCCTTCCATCCTACTCCCTCCCGCCCCCCTCATTTCCCAGGCGTGTGAGTTGGTGGCGGGGTGTCTGCAGTCGGCGTGTGGGCGGGAGGTGGCAGCAAGGGAGGTGGCCGGGGCGTTTGTGGACTGCGTCAAGATCTGCCGAGCCGCGCCAGCCACCGTCCTGCCATACGACAGCCTGTCATGTGTTCAGGTGAGCATGAGGTGCATAACATATCCATCGTTCCGGATTGGAATGGAGTTGTTTCTTGAGTGCATTCTCTCCGCTCTCCTGACTCATGTGACCCACTAGTTCTCTTTCTCCCGTGCCTCCTGGTGCCGCACGTCCATGCCACCATGCAGATTGCTGCAGAGGCCACGACCGTCTTCCCCAACTCCATGTGCACAGGTACACGCCCTGCTGCATGCCCTCTTTGCAAGGTCTTACAATTCCTACCACGTTGCTTGCTGCTCTATCCTTGGCCCACCTCTACATGTTCGTCTCTCCCACCTCTACACATTTTCCCCCATTGCTGCCCGCGCCTGCAGACAAGGCGTCATCTGCCCGCCGGAACGCAAGGGACGACACTCATGGAAGGAGCACTCATGGGCGTGGGCACGAGCACGAGCATGCGTATGGTTCACCCCATGCTCGAGGGCTGACAGAGAGGGCGCATGGGAGGAGGCAGCGCTTCCACCACAGCCAGCTGGCTGGTGCTGGTGCTGGTGCTGATGTGCATATTGCAGCTTCAGCGGCTTCAGAGGCAGCAGCAGCTGCCGCACATGGCAGCTACAGTGAGCATCTCAACCATGCTTCTCCGCACCATGCCTCGTCACACCATTCATCGTCTTACCATGCCTCGACTTACCATGCCTCGTCATATCATGGCAAGGAGCACCAGTATCATGCACACGCAGCCCACAATCCGCACGGCTCAGTTGACTACCACAGCCATGCCGCCATGCATGCGCTGACTGCCTCTGCAGCAGCAGCCACGGAACAGGCAGCAGTGGGAGCAGTGGGAGTGGGAGGAGACAGCATGGTGCAGGCAGCTGATCTATCTGAAGAAAGCCTTGGTGAGCGCTGTGCTTACATACGTAGCCCATCGAGGCACCATTTGGTTTCAAGGCACCATCTGGTTTCAAGGCACCTTATGTAGCATCCCTTCCGTGCGGATGCCCTGGCATGGCACCTGCTCCCTACGCCCCTTTTCTCACATTTTCAGGTTTGTCTGTTTCCCACCGCCCCCCCCCCCCCTGCCCATCCACCCGCCACCACCCCCTTTCCCCCTTTCCCCTCCCCGTGCCCCCCCAGACCTCCCCCATCTCTCCACCGCCCCCAACGTGTGGACTCTCCTGGGCTCCACAGACTCGCAGCGAATCAGGAACCTGCAGGTGGCGGTGTCGCGCACGCTCTACACGATGATCAAGGACTCGTGCCTGGCGGGCCCCTACGCCATGACGCTCACCGAGACGTACCGCCGCAAGTTCACCGCCTTCCTCTGCACCATCTCCGGCGGGCCCGCCGACAGGCTGGAGCTCTGCCGCTTCCGCAACTCCACGGGGCACCAGCTGCAGCGTCCAGACGAGCTGTTTAGGCACCTTAGGAAGGTGCACCTGGGGTGAGTAGGGACTGGGGCAGGAGTTGTCTAGCTGTCACTGAGAAAAGCATGCTTCGTTGCTTTGCTCAGCCCCAGCTGCTGCAGCCAGACGAGCTGTTCAGGAACCTCAGGAAGGTGCACCTGGGGTGAGCTCTGCTTGTCCTTCCTCCTGCTCTTGGCCCCTCCCTTCCCTGCCTGCTGTTTCTCCGATCGATGCCTCCCTGTGTCAACAGCCCTCGTAGCCCACCTTTATGAGCATCAATAACACCTGGATCTCGACCCCCGCGCTCCCCTCTCCTCTCGCGCTCCCAGCGGGCACCTGGTGATCACGTCCCAGCAGCTGCGGCGCTTCATCGACATCCTGCTGGCAGCCATGCAGTCCGTCACAGCCGTCTCCCCCGACGCCGTGGTGGAGCTGTCCGCGTTCTTCCACCGCCTGGACCCCGCCATCGTCAGCACCAGCGCTGAAGGGTGCTCGCAGGGCGGCACGTGGCTGCAGTGGCGCGCGGGGGTGAAGCACAACACGACCATCCATGTGGGGGACAAGGTCACATGGGTGTGGGATGACGACCTCCCGCACTCCCTCAGGAGTAAGATTCAGGGCCGTTGTTGGATTTGCGCTTTGTGAAAGCTTTTGCTTTGTTTTGGGGACCTTGAATCACGGGCTCGTTGTAGCCCCTGTGCAGCCTCGTCAACCCACCCGCCTCTCTTTACCCCCTAACTGGAACCCTTGTTGCAGTATCTGGCATGGGCGACGGGCCGAAGCCATTCTTTGAGGGGTTTGGGGGCCACCGCCTGGCGCTGTCGCGGCGGTTCTTTTGCTCGCCCATGAACGTGGGCGCCAAGGACGACTACGACGACCCCGTGCCCTGTGTTGTCAGTGAGTGCCCTGCGTTGACAGTGAGTAGCATTCTGTGTTTCTCATCGAGTGGCTTTCTAGATGTGCACCTCCTGGCTTTGTTATGCCAAGCGTGCTCGCAAACGCCCTCACATATCACCCCTCCCCCTCCCTCGCCCTCACTGCGACTCGCCTCACTCCTACTATTCCAACATATCTCCCCTCCCCCCCCCAGATCTGGCGTCGGACGTGAACGCCACGTTCACGTACACCAAGGTCTTCTCCCAGCCGGGCATCTACCTCTATGAGAGCGGCGGCGCGGACGTCGGGGAGATTGCCGACACCGGCTCCTCCTCCACCTCTTCATCGCCGACCTCTTCTGCCTCCTCCTCCTCCTCGTCCGCCTCTTCCATGTCTGGAATGATCACTGTGCTCCAGCCGCTTCCCGAACCCCAGGGTTAGTATCCAGCTCTTGCGTTTACTGCCTCAGTTTCTGTTGACGGATTTGGCCATTACTTGCCTCCACACCCGTCTCGAGTTTGCCTCGTTTTCTGCGCTCACATCGACCTCCTTCCCCACGCACTCACATGAACCCCCCACTCCCTTCTCTCACATCTGCCCGCCCCCCACCCCCCCCCCCTCCTCCTCCTCCCACCTTCCCCAGACAAGGCGTTCCACTGCTCGCCGAGCTGCTCCCTGCAGCTGCTGGGCAATGGCGTGTGCAACCCCGTCTGCAACACGCCCGCCTGCGCCTTCGACGGCGGCGACTGCGGCTGCATTGACCCCGTCTTTGGCGTTGGCTACTGCTCCTGCCCCGCCGGCCAGGCCAGGCGGCACGATGGATGTGAGCTGCCCGCCCTCCTCTTCCCTGCCCTCCTCCCTCTTCCCTTCCCTCTCCGCCCTCTATCTCTCTCCTCCTCACCGTCTCATTGCCAGATTCTCCCTTGTCTGAAGCCATGCCCTGCTTCCCATGTTCTCTCCTGCCCCCTGTGGCACCACCTGCCCCTCGTCCATCCATCCGGGCCACACCCCCTTCCTCCCGCCTCTCGCTCCACTGCGCCTGCCCCTCCGCCCTGTCCTGCAGCGTGCTGTGTGTCGAACGCGGTGGGCGCCAACCTCAACTACCCCTTCTCGTTGAAGCGCTACGGCAGCAACTACTCGGAGAGCAACCGCGCCTTCGCTGCTGAGAGGAACGCCCCGCTCACTAGATTCGTGGCGTCGCACAACAGGTAGAAGCCTGGAGTCCACTCTAATCAGAAGTGGTTAGCAGGTTCAATTGTTCAATTGAGGTGAACCAGGTCCTGCTTCTCCGTCTCTTCCTCCCCTCTGCCGCTCTCGTCCAAATCCCGTCCATTTCTTCTCATGCCTCCGTCGCTCATCTTTATCTCATCCTCCTCACTGCACCTTCTCTGCACCTTCGTTCTCCCCTTGCACACTCCCCCCACCCCTCCGTCTCCCCCCCCGTGCAGGCTGCTCATCGGCATGTTCCTCTATCAGAGCCGCTGGAGCGTCAAGACGTGCCAAGGCTCCGGGTACGCATTCCCTGCACACCCCCCTCGCTGCTGCTGCCTTTTCCCGTCCTCTCCATCCTTCCCGTCCTCTCCATCCTTCCCGTCCTCTCCATCCTTCCCGTCCTCTCCATCCTTCCCGTCCTCTCCATCCTTCCCGTCCTCTCCATCCTTCCCGTCCTCTCCATCCTTCCCGTCCTCCCCATCCTTCCCGTCCTCTCCATCCTTCCTGCTGCATTGTTCTCATATGCTTGAAGCGCCTGCCGCTCCTTCCCTCGCCTCCTTCCCTCGCCTCCTTCCCTCCCCTCCCCCTCCTCCATCGCCGTCCATCACCTCAACCCCCTACTCCTTCTCCTCCCTTCTCCCCCTTTCTCCCCCCTTGCGCTTCTCTTCCTCCCCTTGCTCCCATCAGCCTCCACCACCTGGCGGGGTGGTGCGCCAACGGAGAATCCCGGCAGCCGTTCGGGGTGAACCCGCACTACCTGTCGTCCTCCACGCTCTACAACCCCGTGGCCGCCGCCGCGCCCGACCAGCCTGGCAGCGCCTCGAACGACCAGGCGGGCACCAACGCCTCCATCCACGAGCAGCTGGCGCTCAACCCGCAGGGGCTGCCCTACGGCTTCGAGTACCCCGTGGTACAGCCCCTGTCTTTTCGCTTAGGGGGGTTTGGTCTTCTTACCGGTGCTGTCTTCCTGGTGGTTCCCTCCTTCCACGCTCAGCTTTCCTGCTCCACCGCTTTTCAGCACATGTTCTTTGCCATCGAGGCTTGTTACCCGACCATTGAAGGGTGGTCGTTGCGATCGTTGAATCACACGCTTACCTTCCCCTGTGCTGGGCCCACCACTGGGTGCAGGACGGGGAGCAGGGCTACCCGCTGGTGTTTGACATCAACCTGGCGTATGAGGATGCCATGAGCCGCCTGCAGTACCTCGTGGATGGCTTCTACATCGACAACGCCACAAGGAGTGTTGAAGTCTCCTTCATCACGCACAACGGTACAGCAACAGGAGCCCTAGGATCAGTTACAATGGCAAAGTCTTCTTCCGCTACCCTCTCCTTTCTAGCCTCCTAACTCTCCATTATTTCAACTCCTCTTGTCCATCCCCCCTCCCCTTTCTTTTCCCCCACGTCCAACCACCAGGCGAGAGCAACACCTTTGTGCTCACGCGCATCACAGCGGTGGTCGACACGGGCGGCGGTCTCGTCACCTCCTTCTCCTCGCTCTCCCTCACCGCCGCCCTCTACCCCGCCTCGCTTGCCTCCATCTTCCTCCTGCTGCTGCAAGCACTGTACGTGGTGGCGCTGGTGTGGAACGGGGTGGAGGAGGCGGTGGAGCTGCGGGGGCGCGTGCGGAGGGAGGGGTCGGTGCTGAGCTACCTGCACTCGGGCTGGAACTGGATCGACATGGCCTCTCTCCTGCTGCAGGCGCTCGCGCTCGCCACCTGGGTTGTGCTGTGGCGGTCCGCAGAGTCGTTTGAGCTGCAGCCGCGCTACGACATCTACTACACGCTGCTGGAGATGCCCAGATACTGGGCCGTGCCGGACCCGCCCACAGGGTTCCTGGCGGCCATGCAGCAGTACTCGGCTCTTCAGAACCTCATCAACTGGCGCTCCTTCTACTTCGCCCTGCAGGGCGTTAAGTACGCGCCGCCATTCCCCTACCGTCTCTCTCTCTGTGCATGGGTCTGATGTCTTAACAAGTTCCGATGCACCTTGCCAATCAGTCTTTTCTTAAGTTGCTCGCCAATCAGCCTTGCCAGTTCCGACATGCCTTGTGGAGCCATTCTTGGCAGTTGGTTCCGTCACATCTTGCCACTTTCCATGCTTGTGCATCTCTGGTTGATCAAGACGATCTGCAGAAAGCAGGAAGGCATTTCTCAGGTTACTCAATCATGTTCATCTGTCCCTGTCCTTTGCACCGCCCCCCCAGTCTCTTCCTGCTCATGGTGCGCCTGCTCAAGCTGATGGACTTCCAGCCCTACCTGGGCGTCATCACGCGCTCGCTCGCCCTCGCCATGCCCTCACTGCTGCACTTCTTCCTGCTCGCCTTCATCGTCTTCTTCTGCTTCAGCATGTACGGCTACCTCGTCTTTGGCCGCGTGATGGAGCAGGTGCGTTACACCTGGAAATGGGACTGGTTATGGAGTACATTATGCCACAGCAATCACACTCATCCGTTTCATGTCCTGTTGGTCTCTTGACTCGACTTGGACCTTGATGCCTCTCTCGTGATGAAATCATTCTTACTTCCTTCTTAATCCTCCTTGTCACCCCTGAACCCTCCAGTTCTCGACCCTGCCCGAGTCGCTGTTCACGTGCTTCCTGATCATTCTGAACGAGAACGCGACGGCGTACTTCTTTGAGCGCATGCACGGGTGGGACCTGGTGGCGGGCATGCTCTTCTTTGTCGCCTTCATTCTGCTGCTCGTCTTCATCCTCTTCAACTTCCTCATCGCCATCATTGTCGACGCCTTCATGACCATCAAGGTCAGATTTGATCACCTTCTGCTTGATTGGGCCGGTCACCACTTCACGGTGCCCTTTGTCACTTGCATGCGCAATTCGCCGTCAGATTGAGCAATCGGCAAAGCGCATGAGGATGTCGCGAAGTTGACTTTCAATCTCTCATAACCCGAGCTTTTGTGAATTCTCCATCCCACTTTGTCTGCTGCCAATCTCATTTTTCCACCTTTTCCCTTCATATTCGCATTGCAACCCCCACCCCCCCCCCCTCTCCTTCCCTTCCAGGACTCGCACACGGTGGCCACGTCCATATCACACGACATCGGCACCATCATGCGCTACCTCTTCAACCGCGCGCTCGGCCGCTTCTCCTCGTACGGCCAGATCATGACCCACCTGGAGCAGCTAGGCGCGCGCGACAAGCTGGAGGACGAGGCACACAAGCGCATGCGGCGCTACCAGTCCTTCAAGCGCCGCGCCAAGTCGTGCATTGGGAACAGTGTGGCATGCAGCCGGCTGTGCGGGGCGAGCACGGAGGAGGTGGAGCGCGCCAAGACCATGGCGGGTGGGGCCGAGGTGCTGGCAGTGCAGCAGAGGGTGCTGCAGGTGAAGGGGCAGAGCATCGATGACATCTCCCTCGCCATGATCCTGCAGCGACGCAGAGAGAGAGAGGTAAGCGCTGCGCGTGCTTCGCATCCCTGTTTCTTGCGTTTTTTCTTTGCTGCTCAGCACACTTTGTTCTGCTTGTACTGCTAGTGGCAACACAATGCACTAGCGTCATATCCACACAGCTCCTCACTAAATCTCTCCTCTTCCGCTCGGCCCTTCCAGCAGACGCACTCCCAGAAGCACTCAACCCCGCTGCCCTCGCCCTCGTCTGCCTCCGTGCTGCAAGTATCTCCGGACTCGGAGCACCTCTCCCACCTGCTGCTGCGGCAGTTTGGCGAGCACGTGGTGCGCGACCACAGTGTGCGCCCGCACAAGCCCAAGCACGGGCTGCCGCAGGTGCAGGAGGAGCTCGCGCGCATGCGCGAGTCCATGGACGAGCTTAAAGCCATGGTGTTCGCGCTGCACTCTGCCATGGCTGGGGGCGGAGGTGGAGTAGGAGGGGGGTTTGGGGGGGGTGGTGTGCTTTCTCCCAGCGCTGCTGGTGCTGGCGTGGCACCAGGTTTTGGAGGCACAGCCGGCACGGCCACAGGGGCAGCAGCGGCGCATCACCCATTGTTCGCAGCATCGTCATCGGCGGCAGCGGCACTGGCGCATGCGTCCTTCAGCACCACGTCGTCCTTCTCCTCCGCCTACGGCTCCTTCGCCTCGCCCAACTCCCTGGGCACGCCCCTCGGGACCTCCCCTGCCAGAGACCCCTTCTCTGGCGCTGCTGCTCCCTCCCTCCCTGCCACCACGGCATTCGCTCGTAACCCATTCGCTGCTGGTAACCCGCTCATCGCCAGTAACCCTTTTGCTGCTAGTAACCCGTTTGCTGCGGGTAGCCCGTTTGGCACAGGCAGTCCACAGCGTCGGTCGCTGGTGCTGCAGCAGGGGGCAGTGCGGCGGGGCGCAAGTGCGGGCCGTGCGGGGCTGAGAGCAGGCACGGGGCCCAGCAACCTGGGGCCCAACACGCGGCAAGGGAATGGGCTCGTGCTGTCGCGCATGGAAACCACTCCGCTGCCCCGACGGCAAGACACGTGGCACAGACACGACGATGCGGTGGCGGGTAGTCGTGGTGGTTCCACTGTGTACCCCCATGCTGATAGCTTGCCTCTGCCTGCTGCTGCCAGTGCAGCGTTGATTCATGCCGATACCATGCCCATGCCCCATGCCCGAGGCACTTCCTTTCCGCATATGGATTCCGAGCCTCAGGAGGCACGGGTAGGCTTGGTGCAGGCTTCTGGGGGTAGCGATGGTGGCAGTGCTGATGGTGACCATGCTGGTGGTGGGCAGAGTGATGAGCTGTCACCGCTGACGAGGGCAGCGCAGCGCGTGTCGCTGTCATCGGAGGAGGGTGAGGAGGGGGGAAGGATGATGAAGAGAGGTGGCAGTGGCGGAAGTGGGGGAGGTGGAAGCAAGGGCTCGGTGCGGAAGAGTGTGGGGTTCAAGGAGTAGATGGGAGGGACGAGTGGCACTCTTACAGCTGGTTTGGATCATTCACAGAATCGGAACGGTGGACATGAAAATCTCGAGTTGGACTGTGACATAAGGATTGGTGCTGCCGCGTGTAGCTGTGGAGGTCGTGGCTGGGGCGAACCAGTCTAGCAAGCATTGCAAAAGTTCTGACAGCCAAGCGTGGTGAGTGGTATTTTGAGGTGGGGGGGGGGCGTGATGTTTTGGGGCATGTCTTTCAGCAGGATGTAGTTAGCGAGTGAATGTGTGCAAGATAGTATTGATAGTCAACGTCCAACTCAACCCCTCCTTTTTCTCAACTCCACCTGGTTCCCATGCAGCTGCTTGGTCGCGGGTACGTTCGGGGCGGTTGCGCGCCACCATGCGCTCTGTAACTTGTGGTGGAGGCCCTGTTTTCATTATGCATGTAAATGCTCCCTGCCATGCGTTACATTTGTGGTTCTCTGAAAGCAATAAATCATTGTAAGTTCGTGTTGTATTTTGATGTGGTAATGTGCCCGACGATTTCCTCGGTTGCTAACTAGAAAATACTCATGCTTACCTGGATCAACCCATACGGGATATATTCTCCCATAACGAATAACGGCTGGACTGGTTTAGGCCAGAGTCTCGAACCCAGTAAGGTTACAGCTTTCGTCAACGTCGTAAGGCATTCTTCTGGCCCGGGCGATCTTCGCAGAAACCGGTTTTGGTTCCAGTGTTTCCACAACCAGTCCCTGGCTCAGTTCATGAGGACAACCGCCTACAGTGGCACCGACAGCCACCACCAGCAGAAGTCCCACTACAGGGAATGGCATGGCATGGCACCACGCCACACTGGCTGAACGCGCCACATCCGGCATGTGGAGGGAGACCTACAGTGGATTTTGTGTTGGGAGGCAGTTGCTGCGGACCTAGTGTTACTTCACTGAAGTGTCCTTCGTCCTCTTTTCGCCAAACTCCAGGCGAATTGACTGCCAGGCGACCCCAAGAGTCGTCGCAGCCCATGTCGCGATGCCGGCGGCGAACAGCTGGAATGAAGGCGAAGGAGCATGAGTTACCGCTGAGAAAGAATGGCAAGGACATCCCTCCATAGCCCAGTGGATGGAAACGGAAATGGTTTGGCTTCAATTCAAGGACAACTGCGGGTACTTCAAGGCAGAAGGTAAACTCAGAGCCATGCAATGTCCTAACTAGGTGAACGCTGTTGGTAAGTACACAGTAAGGATCTGTGCAGTAGCCATTACTTCTCGTCATACCTCCTCCTTTCCGTGCGGTTGCTCTCCTCCGCCTCACACGAGCAGCATAAAAAGCACGCCACCAAAAGAAGAGAAATTCTGTTGCGGATTCAAGGTTGCTGGATCGCTTTTGCGCCGCACTGCACGGCGTATCGGACGTGTTTCAAGTGATGGTCCGTCGCTAGACACCCCTGCTTCTCGTCTCTTCGTAGCGGCAATGGCGGAGGCGGTGGCGGTGCTGCGCGCGAAGAAGCAGGCGGAGGCGAGCGGCGAGGGGGAGGCGTCGCTGACGCGCTCGAAGAGCCTCCTGGAGGAGAAGTTCGACGCGTACGAGGTGGCTAACTACCGTATGTGGGTCCGCTCCAAGTCGGACGGCGCGCCCAGGTACGGCGTCGACTCATAGCCTGCTTCGCAGTAGTACGAATGCCTCACGATAACGATTTCTTGAACGAATTGCCAGGTCTCGATGTGGTTACCCGACTTTCGTCGTCTCTGACTCGCCGCATTTCGTTGCCGTCGCTGTGCAGCAAGAAGCATCGCCACCACCATGACCTGGACTTCCTCGATCGCTACGACAGCAGCTTCGGCCCGGCGAATGCGGAGCTCATGACACGTGTCGCGCGCGGGTCATTCGGCCCGTCGGACTCCGTTACCGAAGAGGACGACGCCGCGAGCGACGATGGCGTCGACGGGGGAAGTCCGGGAGGGGGAGCTGGAGATGGCGGGGGGGCGGACGGCGGAGGGGGCCGCGGGGAGGGGAGAGCTTTGCGCGATGACGGGTCAGGGAACGAACGCGAGAGTGGGGACAGCAGCATTGGCGGCGGCGGCGGTAGTGGTTTCTGTGGCGCAGAAGTGGACAGGGGGTTCGCGAGCTTCTTCCGGAGATTCCGAGTGGGTAGCCGGCGGAACAGCAGCAGCAAGAGCGGCGGGGATGGGTCGGAGGGTGCAGAGGGAAAGGCGGCTGGGTCTCGCCTGGTGCGCAGTTTGACAGCGGACACGGGGGAGAGCAGCATGGGCGGAGGTGGCATGGGGGGGCACAGCATGGGGCCGCAAATGCGCTCGGCGAGTGGCGTGCTGCGGGACACGGAGATAGATGAGATGGACGGGGAGGTGCTGCAAGGTGCGCCCAGGTTCAGAGCGGTGCAGCGAGGACGAGTCCACTGTGCTCTGTTCTCTCTGACTGACGCATATGCTTGGTGTCTCCCCTTTGTGCGTGCTTCCCTTCTTTTCCTCCAGCTAGTTAGAGCGCCCCCTTGCCCCCATGACCTCCCCGCCCTTCAACCCCTCCCTCCACTTCCCCCCCCCCCCATTCCCCCCCCTTTTTTCCAGAGGCGTTTGGGCGCGTGCTTGCCCTGGAGCAGCGCGTGCGGCACTACCGCGACCTGGGCGGCTTCGTGGTGCTCATGGCGCTCTTCATCGCCATCCTCTACCTCCAGGCCGACTCCTCCAGAAGCTTCCAGATCACCGCCGCCCACTCCGTGCTCTACCCGCCGGTGAGACTTTTGCGCGCATGCACGCACTCACTTCGTTGCTTGTTTCGGCAGCACTGCTTACTGATGCGCTCTTGCCTCTCCTCAGCACACTCACCCTTGTCTCCTGTCACTTCTCCTGCCTCCTCCCAACTCTCCCTCCTGTCCCGCTTGCTTCTGTCACTGCCCGTCTCCACGGCATGGCATGGGATGGGATGGGATGGGATGGCATGGCATGGCATGGGATGGGATGGCATGGCATGGGATGGGACGAGATGGGACGAGATGGGATGGGATGGGATGGGATGGGATGGGATGGGATGGGATGGGATGGGATGGGATGGGATGGGATGGCATGGGATGGCTTGGCATGGCATCCCCACAGGACATGCGTCAGGACGCGTCCAACACCTTTGCTGGCACCACTGAATTCTACGACTGGCTCAACAACACCGTCATACAGGTGCGCTCACTCCCCTGCTCTCCATCTCTGCTCGCATGTCCCTTACCCCATTACTTCCCGCTGCGCTCAGCACACCCATAACACCCCAAGTGCTGTCTTTCTCTTGGCTCCTCGCTCTGCCGTCTCCCTCTCCTCTCCCCGTCCGTCACCCTCAGAATGTGTGGGCGGACTTCACATGTGGCGATGGCACGTGCCACCGCCCCTTCCAGTTCCCCGCCTTCGGCCGCTTTGGCTGCGAGGCGGACTGCGGCACGTTCCCCAACCTGACGTCCGTCGTCGTGCGGTTCTCGTCCCAGCTCGACACGCAGCAGGCTGCAGAGGAATCTTCCTGGAACCTGTGCATGGTCAACCCGGTCTCCCTCTGCTGGTAGGCTCACTTCGAGTCCGTTTCATCCCTCTCCACTTTCCACCTCCCCTTGTCGACCAGAGCTAGCTGTTGCAGTACCCGCCCTCTTTCCTCCAGTCCGCTCCGCTCCGCTCTGTGAGAATCTGAAGTGATGATTGTATTAGGAAAGGAGTGGGTATACATAGGTGAGGAGTAGGAGGGAGGGGGGGGGGGTTTGGTTGGGAGGTGACCACGATTATTGGTGACCCCAATAAGTTGAGTTGGCCAACTTATTGGGGGTCCAATAATCCTAGCCAAGATTATTGGTGGGTCCAATAATCTTGGTTGGGATTATTGGGGGTTCCAATAATTGGGAGCCCAACCAATTTGGGAACCCAACAAGGTTGGGAACCCAACCCCCAACTTGGGTGTATACACCCTAGTGGGGTGCTTATAAGTTCCTAAGACAATGAAACGATGTAGGCTAATAGAATGAAGGGAGAATAGTCTAACACGCTCCCCTTCCCCTTCCATTCCACACTTGATGCAGAATCGCATACCCTCTAATTTGCCCCGTCCAATCCCTTCCCACCCCGCCCGCCCCACCAGGTACGAGTCGTTGCAGCCGTTCCCTCGTGGCGAGGCGGACCTCTCTATCCCCATGGACATACCGGACGGCGAGTGGACGGTGGTGCTCAACGCGCCTGCGGGGGGCATCAGGGGCACTGTGCATGCGCCCCCTCCCGGCACGCGACGCTTCTCCGTCATTGGCTCCGCCAACACCGTTGAGCTCGCGGCGTGGGGGTACTGCGCGCACGATGATGACGCCGATGACGCCAATGGGACGGGCTCTGCTGCGGCATCTGACGTCTGTCGCGATGTGAGCTCGCACACAATATTCCCCGTCCCACATGCGATTCCTGCATATGAAGGGTGCTTCGATGGGCGGTGTTGCACAACACACCCAAATCCACTACCTGTGGTTTCGTGTGCATGCATGTGTGCCTGTGTGCGTGCGTGCAGACGTGTGTGAGCCTGGTGGCGTGCCTGCCAGCAGCGTGCAGCCGTGCATTCACGGAGAGGGAGGTGGCAGGGGCGTTCGTGGACTGTGCTCGCATGTGCATCGTGTCGCCCGCCACCATCACCCTCTATGCAGGCAACCCCTGCCCCGTAGTAAGCCCGCCCTGCTGTGTGTGATGTGGTACTCTTTCCAGTGTCCTTTTGAGCTGCTTCCAGTAGTGGCACTAACACAGCACTGGCTAGCTGCTTTCTCTTCCGCCTGTTCTGCCCTTGGATTGCCGCGGGGTTGTCTTGTCCATCCATCACTCGCTCCCCCCTCCATGCCCTCCTGCCTGCAGCCTGACATCGCAACGGTATTCTCCAACACTCCATGCAACGTTTCAGGTACCGCCTGAAGGAAATAGCTTGGAAGAGAAAAGATTGATAGAGTAGGGAGCCAAGAGGCTCTTTTGTACAAAACAAGGAGCAAGGAAGAGTTGGAAGGGAAGCTCTCCTATTGGCCATAAAGTGGACCAATGGGAGAGGTTGCTTGTAGGGCAAGCAACCACAAAGTGTGGTGCTCTCTGATTGGCCACAATGTGGACCAATGAGAGAGATTGCTTGGAAGGCAAGCAACCACAAAGTGTGGTGCTTGGTGATTGGTTGGTTCCTAGGACCAAGGACCATTTGGTTGGAATAGTGCCAACCAAATGTCTATGACCAAATCCAATCTTGACCAACCCAAATGTGGGGTTGGTCAACCCAACCAACAACCCCCAATATTTATAATGACTACACCTCCTAATCTAGGCATGCATGTTGTATAGATATATATTTTACAACACCGCCTCCCCGTCCGTTGTGTGCATGCACTGCCATCTCTCCAGGCACTGCTGCAGCCCATGGCGCTCATGCGTGATTGATGTCTCACGCGATCCGCTCTCTGCGGATGATTGCTGTGCCCCGTGTCTCCCACACCAGGATTCAACTCCACCGCTCGCATCTCCCGTCTCGCCCGTCGCAAGGTACCCCCCTTCCCCTCGCTTGCTCTTCCCTTGTGATTGCTGCTCTTGCAATATCCGCCTGTTGGTGTTCGCCTCGTCACTCTCTGTTGGCGTACATGGTCATGCCATGCTGCCGTCCATTCTTGCTTGCATGATCGCGCATCCCTGCCCTCTCTCCCTCTCCTTAACAACCACAGGCACAAACTCTACACAAATTCCACCAACCACACGCCTACGGCCAGTGGCCCGCCTCAGCAGCCCTTTCAGCCTCACCTGCTGCCGCCTCTCCTCCTCCTGTGCTGGCACGGCCTGCTGCAGCGGCCTCGGCTGATTCTACCGTAATGGTGACACGGAAACTGCAAGGAGAGCAGAGTGGAGACACAGCACTGGCACCTCCACCACCGCCTGCACCGACGTCAGCAGTGGCAGCAGCAGCAGCAGCAGCAGCCATGGCGGCAGCGGGAACGACAACAGAAGACCCCTCTCTCCCCGCGCCCTGGTCGCTCCTGGGCGCCACGGACCGCCAGCGAATGACAGCGCTGCAGGTGGCGGTGTCTCGAGCGCTCTTCACCATGGCCAAGGACCGCTGCCTGGCCGGGCGGGCGCCGGGATCAGGGGCGAGGCCCCTGGAGGGAGGTGCGGGCAGCGTGGGGCCGCGCATCGTGGCGTGCCTGTGCACGGTGCTGGGGGGGCCGGCCGCAGGCATGGAGGAGTGCCGCTTCACGGATGAGGCGGGGCGGCAGGTGGTGACGGCGGGCGACATGTACGCGTACCTGCAGCGCACGCATGTCAGGGGCGGCCGCGTCATCTCCTCGCAGCACATGCGGCGCTTCGTGCAGACCGTGGTGGCGGCACTGCTCTCCGTCACACCCATGGCCGATGCCTCCGCTGCGCGCGTCAACTCGCTGCTGCACGCCTTTGATGGCGCCATCGTCACCTCGCAGGCCGTGGGATGCACGCAAGGTGGGGTGCTTGCATGGGAACGTGGCCATGGTGATTGCACGGTGATGATGATCGCAAGGTGGGATGATCGCGAAGTGAGGTGCTTTTGTGTGTGCATATGCTGGTGTTTCTCTCGCTCATGGCACCTTAGGATCGCTGAATGTATTCTGGCACTGGTTCCTTCTCCCGTCCGTGTCACCCCAGGTGGCGCGTGGCTGCAGTGGCGAGCAGGTGTGAAGCACAACACGACCATCCACGTGGGGGACAAGGTCACATGGGTGTGGGATGACGACCTCCCGCACTCCCTCAGGGGTGCGCCCTTTCTCCCAAAGCTCTACCACCACTCGCATTTACACCTCTGCCTCTTGTCGCTCGCTGTATCCTTGGGAAAGAGTGTGTGCGGTGTGCCTTGGTAATGGCTTTCTGCACCCCACGCTGCCTCCTTTCATTCACTGGCCTGAATTACCTCACTCCCCACCACCCCTCCTCCCCATGACACCGCCACACCACCACCAGTGGCGGGGATGGGTGAGGCGGGCGCCCCGCTCTTCCATGGTTTTGGGGGAAATCGCCTAGCGGTGGCGCGGCAGCTGGCTTGCTCTCCCATGAACGCAGGCGGGGGGGACGCCAGCGAGGACCCCCTGCCCTGCGTGCTCTGTGAGTGGGGGGGTGGGGGGATCTGTGTGGAGTAAATTGAGGGTTGTGTGGTGGGGTGAGTGCGTGGAGTGAGTGCGGGGGGTGAGTGCGGGGGGTGAGTGCGTGGGGTGAGTGCGTGGAGTGAGTGCGGGGGGTGAGTGCGTGGGGTGAGTGCGTGGGGTGAGTGCGTGGAGTGTCGACGCCTGTTTGAAGGGATAAGGGAGCATCGCACTTTGGTATCAACATGACCCACGATCTGAGCCTGCTGCTGCATCATCATCAGACCCAAAACTCCTTCCACCGTCCTCTCCTCGTCACCCCCCTTCCCCCCACCCCCCCCAGCAATGGACGGCGAGCCCGCGGGTTCCTTCTCCTACAGCAAGCTGTTTGAGCAGCCCGCCACCATTTACTACCAGGACGGCGCTCTACCAGGGGGGGACCAAGCCTCCCTCTCCTCCTCCTCTTCCGTCTCCGCCAGTGTTCTCACAGTGCTGCCTGAGAGGACGGAGGCAGATGATTCTGGTGACTGCCGCCATCCCATGCCTTCTTTCGTTCTCGTCCACCCACTCACCCCCCTTGCATACTCTCTCCACCCTTTGCTAAGAACTCTTTTTTTTCCTTCACCGACTTTCTTTCTTTCTTTCTTTATTTCACCTCCCTTCTCCTTCACTTCTCTCCCTCCCCTTTCCATCCTTCCTCGGCCCCTCCTCTCCCCATTCCCCATCTCTTGCCTCTCCCTTTTTTCTTTTGCGTGCATGCATACATCGCAGGTGTTGTCAATGCTACTGGCAACAGCACCAGCACCACCCCCTCCCCCCCCTCCTCGGCTGCGGTCTACTTCTGCGCGCCCCGGTGTCGGTTGCAGCGGCTGGCCAACGGGGTGTGCGACGCGGCATGCAACGTGCCTGCGTGCGCCTTTGACGGCGGCGACTGCGCGTGTGTCGACCCGCTCTTCGGCCCGGGCATCTGCTCCTGCCCCCCGGGCCACACCCGCCGCGACGACGGCTGTTAGTCATCCCTCTCCTTGCCCCTTTCTATCTTGAAATTCCATGCCCTCCATGCCCTCCATGCCCTCCATGCCCTCCATGCCCTCCTTTCCCTCCCTTCCCTCCCTTCCGTTCTCTCTTTCACCCATGTCCCTCCCCTTCCCCCCTCCTATCCTCCTCTCCCCCCCCTTGCAGCGTGCTGCCTGTCCACGGCGGTGGGAGCCAACCTCAACTTCCCCTTCTCGCTGCAGCGCTACGGGCCCAACTACACCGAGAGCAACTACGCCTTCGCCGCTGAGCGAGGCACCGCTGTCAACCGCTTCGTCTCCACCCGCAACCGGTACAGCACACGAGCTGCACCCACGCACGCACTGCCATGCTGCTCCCCGCCCGTCTGCTTCTCCTTGTGTGCGCCCCGCATCTCACTTCTGAACTCGGATTCTCACCCCATCCACCCACCCCCGCGCCCCTCCTCCTTCTCCCCCTGGCATGGTCAGGCTGCTGATCGGCATGGTGCTGGAGCAGGAGCGGTGGGGCACGCAGGTCTGCAGCGGACAGGGGTGAGTCGTGCTCTGCTGGGTGGGCTTGGGCGGAATGCTGGTCAGCGGAATGCTGGTCAGTAGGTTCTTCTTTTCATCTCTACTTATCATGACTCTTGAGTCGTGCACTGCTGATCGCGCCTTTGAGCTGAACAGGAGTTGATGTCTCTCTGAAGCCGTTCCAGCCAAGCACCTCTCTTTTCCTTACAAGCAACACTTCCCTCCTCCCTGCACCTCCACCGACCCACCCGCCAGTGTGCTGCACCTGGCGGGGTGGTGCAGCAACGGCACGTCCAGGGAGCCGTTTGGAGTGAACCCGCACTTCCTGCCCACGTCAGCCATCTACGACAGCGCAGCCACTGCCAACATGAGCCAGCTGGACAACAACACTTTTGGCTTTAAGCTCAAGTTCAACCCGCAGGGGCTGCCATACGGCTTCATCTACCCCATTGTGAGAGCATGTCCAAACTCCACTACCAGCATGTGCACCATTTTTTAGACGCCTCAAAAGTCGTCTCATTCCTCGCGGGATGAGGGGCCTCAAATCAAGACTCCACTGCAAGCATTTGCACCGTTCTGCTAGCGCAGGTGCCCCACACAACACAGAATGGATCAATACTCAGGGAGGAGGAGCGGCCAATGCATGAGGGAGAGTCATCACCTGGGTAAATCAAACTGCCCCTTGTACCCTCCTCCTTGCAGGATTCGCTCAGTTTCTACCCCCTGGTGTTTGACATCAATCTCGACTCCGAGGCGGCCATGCGCCGTCTGACCTACCTGGTGGACGGAAGTTACATCGACAACGGCACTCGCAGCATCGACGTCAGCTTTATAACCTTCAATGGTATTGAACCAACTTATCATGCACGTTCTGTATCTCATCACTTCACACTTCACCCCTTGTCTCGTGCTGCACTGCATGTGTCTCACACCTCTTTGAGTCGACTACCCCTCACCCCACCACCCATCTCTCCACCCCTCCTCATCACACCACCGGTCACCCCTCCTTGGCAGGTGAGACGCGCACGTTTGTGGTGACGACGGTGAGTTGCACGGTGAGCGTGGGCGGTAGCATGGCAGTGGCGTTCAAGTCGCAGCCGGCAGCCATGGCCATGTACGATGCATCGGCCGACAACATCGCACGCCTGGTGCTGGAGATCATCTACGTGGTGGGGCTGCTGTGGAATGTGTGCGGCGAGGTGCAGGAGATGCTGGACCGCGCTGCCATGGATGGCTCTGTGCTCAGCTACTTTGGCCTCGCGTGGAACTGGATCGACATGCTGTCGCTTGGCCTGCAAGTGGCTGCTATTGCCATCTGGTAAGGGACACTTCAGGTGCAGCAGGATTTGACAAGTCTGAATAGCCGTGCTCCCTCTCCCCGCTTCTTGAGGACCATTCCTCTTCTCAATGGTTGAACTGCTTCACGCTCTTGCCTTGCTCCTCGCCCATCATGCCACCCCACCTTCACTCCTCCCTGCCTTTCTGTGTCCCTACAGGATAGTGCTATGGCGGTACGTGGAGGCGTTTGACATGCAGCCGCGCTACGACATCTACTACACGCTGCTCGAAATGCCACGCTACTGGGCCGTGCCCAACCCGCCCACAGGCTTCCTCAACGCTTCCCAGGCCTTCCTGGACCTCCGCAACATCATCAACCTCCGAGCCGTCTACTTCGCCCTCCAAGGCATCAAGTGAGCCCCCCTCGCCATTCAGGGCATTGAGTGAGCCTTCTTTGCCAATTGAAGTACTTGGGAGTCAGCTTTCCTCCATCACATAATATTCACGAGGCGCTCCTATGTGCATCAAACGATATGCCATAACTTGAAGCGGTAGTGTCCTCCTATCGCCTTTTAAGGAGCAAGTTAAATGACGACGCTATAGCGGTTTTGAGTGATAGGAGGTTCAGCAACCATGATGGTCTTGGAAGCACAGCTTAGGAAGAAGATTCGAGATTGTGATGGTTCCTAGCCTCGACAAACCCCAAGAACCAAGGTTTTGTTTGGTGGAACATTGCCATACAGACCTCAACCACAAAGAGTCTAGAAACAACCCATCAAAGGTGCCTACACCAAGAGAAATGTAACACTGCACGCGTCATGCTACAACTCCATTGTCTCGATGTTTGCTCATACAACGAGCGACATTGTTTCTTCCAGAGGACTTGACTTTTTTAACACTTGCTCTTCGGTCTTCAATCTAAATTCTTCCTTGGGGTCAAGGTAGCTTGCTTGCGACACGCCGTCGATCCTCACTCGATAAAATTGGAAAACACACACGATGCGCAGACGACAGCTTGACCCACGATTAGCAAAAATTTGCTAATGTTTTGATGCACACATACGACACTGAGACACTTCATTCAAGAACAAGCATCGAATATAGATTTCATAAACTCATGGAGCATTCCATTCATTGGATTCACACACGAGCATGGACAACAAACCGAGTGCAATCTATGTGGTTGCACCAACATCCCCCCCCTACCCCCCCGCCAGCGTGTTCTGCATGATGGTGCGCCTCCTCAAATTCATGGACTTCCAGCCCTACCTGGGCGTCATCACCCGCTCGCTCGCCCTTGCCACGCCCTCCCTGCTGCACTTCTTCCTGCTGTCCTTCGCGGTCTTCTTCTGCTTCAGCATGTATGGCTACCTTGTCTTCGGAGGCGCCATTGAGCAGGTGAGGCCATCGAGCAGGTGAGGCCATCGAGCAGGTGAGGCCCTCGAGCAGGTGAGGCCATTGAGCAGGTGAGCCTCATCTCAATCCAACTCTTGTTTTCCCGGCCAAGCCCTTGCCCATGTTGCCGATCAACCCCTTCTATGTCCTTCCTGTCGTTGCCAACCCACCCACCCCTTGCAGTTATCCACAGTCCTTGAGTCTATGTCCTCGTGCGACCTCCCCCTCCTCCTCCTCAACAACATCCCTCTTGTGTCTCACCCTTTCTCTTCCCCCCTTCCTTCCCCAGTTCTCCACGGTGCTGGAGTCGATGTTTTCATGCTTCCTGCTGCTGCTGAACGACAACTCCTCGGCCTACTTCTTCCAGCGCCTGGAGTCGTGGGACCTGATCGCCGCCATGCTCTTCTTCTTCATGTTCATTGTCTTCATGGTCTTCATCCTCCTCAACTTCCTCATCGCCATCATCGTCGACGCCTTCATGAGCGTCAAGGACGCCAACGTGGTTGCCACCTCTATAGCCGCCGACCTGACACACATATTCAAGTACAGGTGGAACTGCTGGCGCGGCCGCTACCTGCCGTACTGGCTGATTCTAGATCGCCTAGTGGAGTTGGGCGCTAGGGATACCAGGGTGGATGAGGTGAGAGGCCAAAGAGTGCAGGGGTGGCGGTGACTGACTGGGTGAGTGCAGAATCCAGATCCGAGCGAAATGGTTGTTGGAATGAGGCGTCGTAATGAGTGCTTTCCTGGCACTCAAGGTGCACAGCTTGTAGCTCTTTGCAATGGGTGCCATTGCTGCACTCTCCCTGGCTTCTTTTTCCCAGCTGACCAAACTTCCCCCAAACGTGTGCATTTCAGGCGGACCGTCGGATGCGCCGCTACAAGTCCATTCAACGGCGGATGGGGTCTGTGTTGCCCGGCAGCCTTGGTCGGGGCTTTAAGCAGTCGCTCTGCACGCAAGCAGACAACCGCCCCGCCTTCCCGTCCGCCGGTAGCGGGTCTCGGGTGCGGCGGCAGCACGTGCTGACAGTGCGGGAGAAGCGCATCGACGCCATCTCCCTTGCCATGATCCTGCAGCGCCGCCTCGACCGCGCGGTGCGTGTGTGCGGGCTGGTTGTAGCATGGTTGTAGTGTGGCCACGACAGGGCGGTGCGTGCTGGTTAGTTGTAGCATAGTGGGGACAGGTCGGGGCATGTGTGCTGGTTGTAGCACAGTGACGACAGAGCTGTGCCTGTGTGCAAGTTGTGGCATGTCCGTTGCTGCCATGTATGCTACATGCAGTGCTCACCTGCCTGATTTGAAATTTGCCATGACAAGAGGTTGCCTGACTGTGCCTGTATTCCTCCACCCATCACTCTGCATCACTCTCACCCCAGGATAGTCACTTTCCAACCGATCATCCTCTCTCCCCTTTCTATCTATTCTCTCCTCGGTCTCCCTCTCCCCCCCTCACTGCCCATCCCCAGCAAGCCAGAGCGGGCCAGTCTGCCCCTGCCATGTCATTCAAGCCGCCACCCATTTTCTCCCTGGCGGCGTGTGCGGGTAGAGTGGGCGCTTGCTCTGAGAGTGGGCACAGCGAGGAGGAGGCGGGGCTGGAGCATCTGTCGCAGGCGCTGGTGCTGCAGTGCGGCGAGGTGGTGCGGCAGGCCGCCCTGCCGGTCAAGAAGCCCGTGCAGAAGCTCAGCCTGCTGCAGATCCAGGTGGGATGGGGGGGTTGCAGAAGCTCAGCCTGCTGCAGATCCAAGTAAGGGGGGGGGGGGGGGGGAGGAGATCCAGGTTGGGGGGAGAGGGGGGGTGGGGCAGATCCAGGTGGGGGGGGGAAGGAGGGCAGGTGGATACAGGGGAAAGGGGGGGGGGGAGGACAGCGGAGGGAGGCGAGGGGGAAGTGGGGGTGGGAGGAGGATACAGGTGGGTTTGATGCAAGAGGAAGCTTTCACTGAAGATTGAAGCTATTTCTGGGGGGCATTGTTCCTGCTGCCCTGAATTCTTGATCCCCACACCATTCTGAACCCCCCCCCCGCCCCCCTCGTGTGCTGTGGAGCAGGAGGAGGTGGTGCGCAGCCAGCAGGCGGTGGAGGAGGTGCGCGGCATGATGGCGGACATGCAGAGCGACGTGCGCGCCATGGCCGCCATGCTCGCCGCGCTGCACCAAGCCACCATGCGCCCTTCGCCCCCCAGCGCTGAGGCTGTTCCCACGCAATCACTGCCTGTGCAGCCACCGCTGGAGCAGCCATCTTGCTTGAAACGGGAGCTGGCAGAATGTGAGGAGGCGGGGGTGAAGGAGGGGGGGGATGGGGGGGGAGGGGATGGAGATGAAGCCGTGGGTGGCAGCGCGAGTGGCGGTTTCAGCGCAGCGAGGATCAGTAGAAGCCTGTCGCAGCCGTCAAGACGAGGGTCGGGTAGACGGGTGTCGTTCCGAGAGGATGCATCCACAGATGTCGATGATGAGGGTGGTGCTGTGCACACAGGGGAGGAGGCATGGCGGCAGCCGTTGATAGAAAACCACGGAGAACTCTAGTTAAAACGCTGAGAATGGGTGTTAGCGCACCCATGTGTAATTAGGCAAAGGTTTTTGAATGCCTGAGCATTCTTCATTGTTGGTTCACCGTGCATTTTGGGCCTTCTGGTGCTGCTCGTGCATTTTGCATTCAAGCAGCTCACAGCATCCTTCCTTGGTGTCAGGCTGTCAGGCTGGTGAATGCTGTGGGTGTGGGCTGCACAAGACATGTCAAGTCTCATCCACGCCAGGCTGACAAACCACAAAACACAAAACACCACGAAGGAAGCTTATCAACACAATACAGCTACCGTCCTACTTGGTGTAGAAAGGCTCAACTGAAGCCTAAACACATCGCTCAATGCAATTTACAAGGCATTTATATCAATGGCTGCTGTTGCCATCCCTCCTCTGTAGCCAAGGAGCTCTCGCCATCACCTGGAGCGGCGTAAAATGACACCCGTCTACCCGACCCGCGTTTTGAGCCCTGACTCGGGCTTCTACTTCTGCCTACTGCACCAACGCCTGAACCATCTCTTGAGCCCTCTGCTGCTGCCTCTCCATCCCCTGCCCCCCCACCTGCCCCTCCACCTGCCCCCTCATTGCTGCAACCTGCCTGCACCTCCCTTTCACTCGCCGCTTGCTCCGGTGGCCGCTGCCCCCGCAATGACTGTGTGGTGGATCCATGGAGGGGTGATGGCTGCATGGACGCACGCCACATGGTGGGCGCTGACAGACCGCCCACAGCACCACCCACAGCAGCACCCACAGCAGCACCCACAGCAGCATCCCCGGCAGCAGCCGCAGCGGGGGGTGTGCGGCTAAGAAGGTGGTGCATCATGGCCTGCATGTCGCCCATCATGGCCTTGAGCTCCTCCACCCTCGCCTGGCTGCGCACCAACTCCTCCTGCCAGCACACACGAGAGCGGAGCGGGGAGTGATGGAGGAGAGTGAGACAGGGAGAGGGGGGAGAGGGGGAGAAGAGATGCTCAGTGTAAGCAGAGATTCATTGCAGTGGGTTTGCTCAGTGCCAATTGCAGGGTCACCATGCTCACCTGTATCCACACCCCTCCCCACCCATTTCAGCAACCCCCCGCTCTCTCCACCCCTCCAACCCATCTGTATCCGCCGCAACCCCCCCCCCCCCCCCCCCCCCCCCCCCCCCCCCCCTCCATCCCTACTTGTATTTGCAGCAGGCTGAGCTTCTGCACGGGCTTCTTGACCGGCAGGGCGGCCTGCCGCACCACCTCGCCGCACTGCAGCACCAGCGCCTGCGACAGATGCTCCAGCCCCGCCTCCTCTTCCCCCTCGGCCAAGCACACCTCTCGCGAACACCAGGGCGACGGGTCGGACTTTTGGGGGGCAGCCTGCTGGAAGGAAGATGGGGAACAGTGGAAAGAGTGAGCGGGAGTGCAGGGGAGAGAGGTGTTGATTGATCCGAGGACTCTCACTCACAAATGTAGGCACATCACTTACGATTGCCATGTCACAACACAAGGCATGTCACAACACAAGGCATGTCACAACACAAGGCATGTCACAACACAAGGCATGTCACAACACAAGGCATGTCACAACACAAGCATGTCACAACACAAGGAATGTCACAACGCAAGGCATGTCACAACACAAGGCATGTCACAACACAAGGCATGTCACAACACAAGGAATGTCACAACACAAGGCATGTCACAACACAAGGCATGTCACAACACAAGGCATGTCACAACACAAGGCATGTCACAACACAAGGCATGTCACAACACAAGGCATGTCACAACACAAGGAATGTCACAACACAAGGCATGTCACAACACAAGGCATGTCACAACACAAGGCATGTCACAACACAAGGCATGTCACAACACAAGGCATGTCACAACACAAGGAATGTCACAACACGAGGCGCATGCCACAGCGTGCGTGTCAACAACCGTGTCCACATGCACGCACCCCCCTGTCATGGCGGCGCTGCAGGATCATGGCGAGGGAGATGGCGTCGATGCGCTTCTCCCTCACTGTCAGCACGTGCTGCCGCCGCACCCGAGACACGGTCACAGCAGCAGGGAAGGCGGGGTGGTTGTCTGCCCGTGTGAAGTGCGAGGGCTTGCAGGTGCTGCCAGTGCCGCGGGAGAAGGCCGCCCATGCGCGCCGCCTCATGGACTGGAAGCGGCGCATCCTGTGGTCCAACTGCACGGCACGCGATTCTCAAGGCAGATTGATTAGAGGGAGCAAGGGCTCGTGGGAAAGCGCTGGAACGATGCCCGTTGGGGGAAAAGGCCGGAAACAGCTGATCGGGTTTCCAAGCATCTCACGAGTCCTCCGCGGACTCTCACCTCGAGTACCCTCGTGTCCTTGGCTCCCAGCTCCACGAGGCGGGTGAGAATGAGGCGGTACGGCAGGTAGTGGCCGCGCCAGCAGTTCCACTTGTACTTGAATATGTGGTTCAGATCGGCCGCTATGGAGGTGGGGCACGCGTTGGCGTCCTTGACACTCATGAAGGCGTCGACGATGATGGCGATGAGGAAGTTGAGGAGGATGAAGACCATGAAGACAATGAACATGAAGAAGAAGAGCATGGCGGCGATCAGGTCCCACGACTCCAGGCGCTGGAAGAAGTAGGCCGAGGAGTTGTCATTCAGCAGCAGCAGGAAGCACGAAAACATCGACTCCAGCACTGTTGAGAACTGGGGGGTAGGGCGGGCAAAGTAGAGGAATGTGGGGCATTCGGGAGTTGCTGTTGAGGAGCAGCAAAAAGTACAAGAACATGGACTCCAGCACTGTCCAGAACTATAAACGTGAAAACAAGAGGGTGTTTCAGCGGGCAAACAAGAGAGGAGACATGGGGTTGGCAAACAAGAGTGCAAGGCATTGAGACAAAGGTCAACTTGAACATCAAGTCTTGTTCTTAATAATGGAGAAGCTGAATTCTTAAAGCCTGCACAATTGAATGTGCCACATGCATACGTACTTGCTCGAATGTGCCACATGCATACGTACTTGCTTGAGCACATATGGGTGTGCCACATTCATACTTGCTCGAGCACATATGGGCGTGCCACATTCATACTTGCTCGATCACATATAGACGTGGCAAATTCGCATACATTTTTGTTACAGATGCACCACACACATACTTGTTCCGGTTTATACAGCGCCAAACACACACCTGCTCTAGTGCGCCCCCAAAGACGAGGTAGCCGTACATGCTGAAGCAGAAGAAGACCGCGAAGGACAGCAGGAAGAAGTGCAGCAGGGAGGGCGTGGCGAGGCCGATGGAACGAGTGATGACCCCCAAGTAGGGCTGGAAGTCCATGACCTTGAGGAGACGCACCATCATGAAGAAGAGACTTGGGGGGGGCAGAGAACGAGGTGGAGAAGGACGGAGGAAGTGGGGTAGGGAGCAAAGAATGAGAAATGAATCGTGTGGGATGGAGATGCAATATGAGCAGAGCAATGTCTCCCAAGTACTCTTGAGATGAGGACGAGGCCACTCACTTGATGCCCTGAGGGCTCACTTGATGCTTCGGAGGGCGGAACAAAGGGCTCACTTGATGCCCTGGAGGGCGAAGTAGAGGGCACGCAGGTTGATGATGGTGCGGAGGTCCAGAAAGGCCTGGGAGGCGCTGAGGAAGCCCGTGGGCGGGTTGGGCACGGCCCAGTAGCGCGGCATCTCCAGCAGCGTGTAGTAGATGTCGTAGCGCGGCTGCATGTCAAACGAGTCCACATATCGCCACAGGATGATCCTGCACACACACACACACACACGCAGGTGGAGGTGAGTGAGACAAGGGGGGCTTCGGGGTGGGGGGCTGATGAGGGAAGAAGGAGAAATAGGAGGCAGAGGATGTGTCCGTCGCACATTGATTGGAAGCACCAACCAGCACTGGCAGAACGCCGTTGCCCCCTTACCAGATGACAACCGCCGCTGCTTGCAGGGTGAGGGAGAGAATGTCAATCCAGTTCCAGGCGGACCCAAAGTAGCTGAGCACGGAGCCATCAGTGGCAGAGCGGTCCGCCATCTCCTGCACCTCGCCGCACACATTCCACAGCAGCCCCACCACGTAGATAATCTCCAGCACCAGGCGCGCGATGTTGTCCGCCGACGCGTCGTACATCTCCATGGCTACGGGCTGCGACTTATAGCTCACCCCCATACTGCCGCCTGTGCTGACTGTGCAGGTCACCGTGGTCACCACAAACGTGCGCGACTCGCCTGGGAAGGTGGGGTGCGGATGGTGGGCGCATGAGACAAGGGAGAGGACGACAAGCAGGGAATGCTGCTCGGTAGATCCTTGCATGCTAAGAGAAGAAACGAGTCACATGGCATGGCATGTGACCCGGCTCTGAGTCACGTGTTCATGGACTGGACGCAAAGCGAAACCGATGCCTTACCATTGAAGGTTATGAAGCTGACGTCGATGCCGCGCGTGCCATTGTCGATGTAGCTTCCATCCACCAGGTATTGAAGACGCCTCGTGGCCGCCTCGTAGTCGAGATTGATGTCAAACACCAGAGGGTAGACCGAGAGCGAATCCTGCAGGAAGAGGGTACAAACCGTATTTACCCAGAACAGAAGTGTGGCACTATTTAGCCAGTGGCATTGGTTCTCAGCCCCTCTATACCGCTCCCATCTCCTACAGTCACGGTGACATTACACTGTGATGCAGAGGCAAACCATGTCCACAGGCTCACGATGGGGTAGATGAATCCGTAGGGCAGCCCCTGCGGGTTGAACTTGAGCTTAAAGCCAAAAGTGTTGTTGTCCAGCTGGCTCATGTTGGCAGTGGCTGCGCTGTCGTAGATGGCTGACGTGGGCAGGAAGTGCGGGTTCACTCCAAACGGCTCCCTGGACGTGCCGTTGCTGCACCACCCCGCCAGGTGCAGCACTCTGGACGGGGGGGAGGAGGGAGGGGGGGAGAGTGGAGAGGAGGGGTGGTGTTGCTGTGTGAAATAAGTAGTGTCATTATCAAGAGGAAAACAGCTGCTCCGGACCTTGAGAAACGCAGTGTTATAACAATTTGGGCGCCTTGAGCAGAATCAGAAGACAACAACTCCCGCAGCTCAACCAACAGCCCAATAGACTCACCCCTGGCCGCTGCAGACCTTTGTGCCCCACCGGTCCTGCTGCAGCACCATGCCTATCAGCAGACTGGCGGGGGGAGGGGGAGAACGGAGGAGGGGACAAGAGGGCATGAAAGCCGTGCTGAGAGGAGAGGCGACACAGGCATGGAACGACATGGTACTGCATAGTACTGCATGGTACTGCATGGTACTGCATGGTACTGCATGGTACTGCATGGGTGGCTGCTGATGGGGCTAATGGCAAGCAGGGAGACACAGGGGAGTACCATTGCGATGAGAGGCAGGGAGGCGTGGGGGCGCACCGGTTTCGATGAGAGGCAGGGAGCTGCTGACAGGGTTAATCGCAAGCTGGGAGCTTCAGGGGAGTAGCAATCAAGGCAGGGAGGCATGGGCGCATACCGGTTTCGGGCAGAGATGAAGCGGGTGACCGGGTAGCCTCTCTCCGCCGCGAAGGCGTAGTTGCTCTCGCTGTAGTTCGGCCCGTAGCGCTGCAGCGAGAAGGGGAAGTTGAGGTTGGCTCCCACCGCCGTCGACAGACAGCACGCTGCAAGGGGGAGGGGGGGGAGAGGAGGTGAGAGAGAGGGGATGGCGGGGAAGATGACGAAAAGAGAGGAGGGAAAGATAGGCAAAGAAGGACACCAAAAGAAGCGCAAAACAGAAAGCAAGGAAAGAGGGGGGGGAAAGACGGGGGGGGGGAGAGGGAGAGGAGAGGGACGACTGACAGCCGTCGTCGCGGCGGGTGTGGCCGGGGGGGCAGGAGCAGATGCCCGGGCCGAAGAGCGGGTCGACACACGCGCAGTCGCCGCCGTCAAAGGCGCACGCGGGCACGTTGCACGCCGCGTTGCACACCCCGTTGGCCAGCCGCTGCAGCCGACACCCCGGCGCACAGAAGTAGACCGCCGGGGGGGTGGAGGAGGGGGTGGTGGGAGCAAGTTTGGTGGAGGTGGTGACGGTGCTAGAGATGCTGCTGGCGTCAGTGGCATTGGCGACACCTGCAATGCATGCATGCATGGGAGCAACAAGAGGAACCGATAGGGGAGCGGTGGAGAGAGGTGTCACGGAGGAACTAGGAGGGAGTCCAATGAGGGCGAGTGAGAGAACGAGGCGGGAAAGGAGGCATGGGAGAAACTTAAGAATGCAGTCCAGCACGCAGTCCAGCATGCCATGCGTACCAGCAGTCTCAGCTCCTGCCCGAGCAGGTATCACTGTGAGAACACTGGCAGACGACAGGGAGGAGGAGGAGGAGGAGGAGGAGGAGGAGGAGGACACGAGGGAGTCTCCTGCAGCCCCTGGCAGAGCGCCGTCCTGGTAGTAGATGGTGGCAGGCTGCTCAAACAGCTTGCTGTAGGAGAAGGAGCCTGCGGGATCGCTGTCCATAGCTGGTGGGCCGGGCAGACGGGGTGAAGGGAGGCAGTCGGGGGGGAAGGGGGGAAGATGATGGTGGGAGTAAGAATAGGGTGTCAGGCAGCAGGTCGAACATTGACTTGGTCTCAGATAGGACAACCCCCTACTAACCAAGCACAACCCCCTACCTACTAACCGAGCACAACCCCCCACTCACCAAGCACAACCCCCCACTCACTGAGCACAACCCCCCACTCACCAAGCACAACCCCCCACTCACTGAGCACAACCCCCCACTCACCAAGCACAACCCCCCACTCACCAAGCACAACCCCCCACTCACCAAGCACAACCCCCCACTCACCAAGCACAACCCCCCACTCACCAAGCACAACCCCCCACTCACTGAGCACGCACGGCAGTGGGTCGTCGCTGGCATCCCCCTCGCCAGCGTTCATGGGGGAGCAAGCCAGCTGCCGCGCCACCGCCAGGCGATTCCCTCCGAAACCGTGAAACAAAGGGTCACCCGCCTCGCCCATCCCCGCCACTGGTGACGGCAGTGCCATGATTGAGGGGGGAGAAAAGGGGGGGGGGACACCATAAGGGGGGTTGAGGGGTGTGAAGCAGTGCAGGGCCGTGAGTGAAGCGAGGGAAACCAGTCCACTGAGGCACAGCAACGGCATGCACGTGAGGTTGAGGTGTAAATGAGGAGGTATAGTTATGAAAGAAAGGGCGCACCTCTGAGGGAGTGCGGGAGGTCGTCATCCCACACCCATGTGACCTTGTCCCCCACATGGATGGTCGTGTTGTGCTTCACACCCGCGCGCCACTGCAGCCACGCCCCGCCTAAAGGGGGAGAAGGAACCATAGTCAGATAGGCAAGTTTCACGAATAAGCGGCTACGAATGGGTGGTGCAACTGCACATGCACATACGTCCCACTTTGCTCCCATGCTCACCTTGCGAGCATCCAACGGCTTGCGAGGTGATGATGGCGTCGTCGAAGGCGTGGAGCAGCGAGTTGAGGCGCGCAGCAGAGGCGTCGGCCATGGGTGTGACGGAGAGCAGTGCCGCCACCACGGTCTGCACGAAGCGCCGCATGTGCTGCGAGGAGATGACGCGGCCGCCCCTCACATGCGTGCGCTGCAGGTACGCGTACATGTCGCCCGCCGCCACCACGTGCCGCCCCGCCTCATCCGTGAAGCGGCACTCCTCCATGCCTGCGGCCGGCCCTCCCAGCACCGTGCACAGGCACGCCACAATGCGCGGCCTCACGCTGCCTGCGCCTCCCTCCAGGGGCCTCGCCCCTGATCCCGGTGCCCGCCCGGCCAGGCAGCGGTCCTTGGCCATGGTGAAGAGCGCTCGAGACACCGCCACCTGCAGCGCTGTCATTCGCTGGCTGTCCGTGGCGCCCAGGAGCGACCAGGGCGAGGGGAGAGAGGGGTCTTCTGTTGTTGTTCCAGCTGCCCTCATGGCTGCTGCTGCTGCTTCTGCTGCTGATGCTGATGCTGATGTTGATGCTGAAGATGAGGAGGAGGAGGTTAGTGGTGGTGTTGGAGATGGTGGTGCTGGTGGTCTCACTGCTGCTCTCTGTGCTCCCGGCACTTGCTGCACTGCCCGTGCAGTGATAGCAGCAGAAGCAGCAGCAGCGTGCACTGGTGCCGCGAGGGGCAGGGAGGCGGCGTCGGAGGGGCGAGCGGCGGGTGGGGAGGGCCAGTGGGAGTAGGTGCGCGAGCGGTGGAAGCGATACAGCGCCTGGACGGTGGGGGGGCGGTGGGTGCACTGGGTGTGTTGAGTGAGTTGAGGTGATGCGTGAAGGGTCAGAGGGGCGAGAGCAGGGGTCACAAAGAAGCAGGAGGCGGCGCGGGAAGAAGAAGCATGGAGGGTGCAGGTGCAGCTGGAGATGGAATGGAACTACAGGAGCAGGAAGTTGGTTCTTGAGAAGTCTCAAGAACAAACGAGAGTTGCAACTGCAGGAGGGGGGCTGATGCGCTGCAGCGAGCACGGAAATAAGGCAGGCGTGCAAGGCAGGAAGAGCACCTTGCGGCGTGCAAGGCAGGAAGAGCACCTTGCGGCGTGCAAGGCAGGAAGAGCACCTTGCGGCGTGCAAGGCAGGAAGAGCACCTTGCGGCGTGCAAGGCAGGAAGAGCACCTTGCGGCGTGCAAGGCATGAAGAGCACCTTGCGGCGTGCAAGGCAGGAAGAGCACCTTGCTTGCGGCGTGCAAGGCAGGAAGAGCACCTTGCGGCGTGCAAGGCAGGAAGAGCACCTTGCGGCGTGCAAGGCAGGAAGAGCACCTTGCGGCGTGCAAGGCAGGAAGAGCACCTTGCAGCGTGCAAGGCAGGAAGAGCACCTTGCGGCGGCGGTGGATGCGAAACGTGTGAGCCGGTGAGTTGGAGCCTGGTGGTGGCGGAGAGGCAGTGGGATGCAGTGAGGGGGGTGGCGGCATGCAGGGAAGGAAGAGGCAGTCAGTTCCAGAAAGGACAACAGGGGGAGGTGCAGTGGGAGGTGCAGCGGGAGGTGTGGGTAGAGGCACAACAAGAGGTGAAGTGAAGGTAGTGTGAAGTGGAGGGGTGAAATGTGGCACATGAGTGAGTTTTACGCGTGAACGAATGCAACAAGGTGCAGGCACGGAATGTGCGGGACGCCATAACCAGCAAGTTGTACAACTGGTGAACGCCCAGCAGGCTTTGGCAGGCGATTCATGTGAAGCACACAGCAACGCGCACACCTGACATGTTGCATGGCGTGTTGGAGAATATTGATGCTATGTCCGACTGGAGAGGGCGGGAAAAAGGAAATCAGGTGGGGATTTTTTCCAGTAGAATCTGAGCAACAAGAAAAGTAGGGGGGAAAGTCAGGGTGGAGCGAAACCCTTCAACAGGCCACAATGTACCGCCCGCCTAAGGAATGGTTATTGCATTGATCAAGTGCGGCCTTGAAGCAGAGGTGGCTTACGATGGGGCAGGATGCGTTGCTGTATCCGGTGATGGTGGCGGGCGACACGATGCACATGCGAGCACAGTCCACGAACGCCCCTGCCACCTCCCTCTCCGTGAATGCACGGCTGCACGCTGCTGGCAGGCACGCCACCAGGCTCACACACGTCTGCATGCACAGATGCACAGCACACGTACAAGGAATCATTTGAGATGGCATCACATGATCACATGCCATGGAACTCGATTATATCAATCACACATGGTGAAATCCGTATGCGCTTGATGAGAGTACTGAGCAAATGCACACTCACATCACGGCAGACGTCTGTCGAGCCAGGGAGCCCCGTCCCATTGGCGTCATCCACGTCATCATCGTGCGCGCAGTACCCCCAGGCCGCGAGCTCGACGGTGTTAGCAGAGCCAATGACGGAGAAGTGCCGTGTGCCGGGAGGGGGCGCGTGCACGGTGCCGCGGATGCCCCCCGAGGGCGCGTTGAGCACCACCGTCCAGTCGCCATCCGGTATGTCCATTGGAATCGACAGGTCCGCCTCGCCCCTCGGGAACAACTGGAACGACTCGTACCTGGTCGGATGGGGTGGGTGGGATGGGAGAGCATTGGATAGGACGGGGTGGGATGGGCAAAAAAGATGACGGATACATCAATTGGGATGGGAAGGGGCTCGAAGCAGAAGGGAGGGAAGAGAGCAGGCAAAGCAACGCCGTAGCTCGTGTCAGAAAGGGAAGCTGGAGAAGGATGAAAAGGAGAAGTGTAAGCAGTTGTACCAGCAGAGGGAGACGGGGTTGACCATGCACAGGTTCCAGGAAGATTCCTCTGCGGCCAGCTGGGTGTCAAGCTGGGACGAGAACCGCACGACGACGGACGTCAGGTTGGGGAACGTGCCGCAGTCCGCCTCGCACCCAAACCGACCAAACGCCGGGAACTGGAAGGGGCGGTGGCACGAGCCGTCGCCACACGTGAGGTCCGCCCACACGTTCTGAGGGGCGGGCCGGGAGAGAGGGAGGGGGGGCGGCGGGAGCGAGAAGGGGACGCGTTCACGAGTGTACAGGCTGTGATGACGGAAAGCGTGCCGCTTGATGCAACATGGGCGTGCGGAGGGCAAGAAGCACGAGGTGCAAGAGGGAGGGAGAGGAGAGATGATGGGAGAGAAATGAGGGGAGAAGACGGGAGAGAGACACACCTGCACGATGGTGTTGTTGTGCGTGTCACATGTATGGCAGGAGGCCTCACCTGTATGACGGTGTTGTTGAGCCAGTCGTAGAAGTCAGCCTTGCTAGCGAAGGTGTTGGAGGCGTCCTGGCTCATGCCCTGGGGGATGGGAGCGAGCAGAGGGGGAAGCAAGCACGGCGGGAGGGTAACGGGGGTGGAGAGGAGGCGACAGAGCTGAGAGGATGACAACGCAGATGGCACGGACTAAACAGCTTGCTGAAACAACGGGAAATGCAGAGAAAAGGCGAGGAGACGGGTGGAACATGAAAGGAGGTGGGATAGGTTGAAAACGACTGCAGCGAGCATGGGAAAGATGAGGAGTAAGAGTTCGAACAGGCGGATAGGGCACGTCGCAGCGGATGGGGGGAAGGGAGGATTGGGGACGTTACGGGCAGGAAGGGGGGAGAACGGGGGAGGAGGGACCCCACAGGCAGGCAGAGCAGTGATGGGAGGGGGGGGAGCTCTTACAGGCGGGTAGAGCACGGAGTGGGCGGCGGTGATCTGGTAGCTTCTGGAGGAGTCGGCCTGGAGGTAGAGGATGGCGATGAAGAGCGCCATGAGCACCACGAAGCCGCCCAGGTCGCGGTAGTGCCGCACGCGCTGCTCCAACGCCAGCACGCGGGTGAAGGCCTCTGGAAGGGGGAGAAGAAGAGGGGGGGGTGAGGGATTGGGGGGAGGGGAGGGAGGGATGACACGGGCAGGGGGGTGATCCACTTCACAGGCGACTGTCAGGTCGATGCAACGTCTTCTTAAGACAGCTGAAAGCAGCGGCGAGAAAGTTGAGTATGGCACAGACGCCACCCGTAGCCCCGCCATTGGAGCACCTCTCTCTCTGTCATTTCATCGCACCTTGCAGCACCTCTCTGTCCATCTCGTCCATCTCCGCGTCCTGCAGCACTTCGCTCGCCGACCGCCCCATGCCATCCGCCATGTCATCCTCCACGCCCTCCCCCATGCCTCCCCCCATCCCCTCCTCCATGCTCCGCGCCATGGTCGTCCCCGCTGCATCCGCCGTCAAACTGCGCGCCAGACGACCCCCGACCTCGGACGCCTTCCCCTCTCCGCCCTCGGCGCCATCTCCGCTCTTCCCCTCGTCGCTCTTGCTGCTCGCCCGCCGGCCCTTCGGTCTGCATTTCCTTAGGAAGCTTCGCAAGCCCCTGTCGTCGTCCGCAGCGCTGTGGCTGCTGCCGCTGCTGCTGTTGCTGCTGCTGTCCCTCGCGCCTTCCGCCCCCGACCCCTCTCCGCCGACCTCTCCGCTCCCCGCTCCGCCAGCGCCCCCTTCTTCCGCTCCCCTCCCCGCCCGACCTCCCCCTTCGTCACCGTCGTCGCCATAACCCTGCTCGCCGTCGTCTGGGTCCTCCTCGGCGACGGAGTCGGACGGATTGAACGATGTGCTCGCGACACGTGTCATGAGCTCCGCATTGTGCGGAGAGAAGCCGTAGCTATCGAGGAAATCCAAGTTGTGCTTCTTGCTGCTGCGAGACTTCGGAGCCTTGAAGCTTGAAACGGAAGGGGATGCGCGGAGCGGAAGAAATTGTAACTTAGGGGGGCGAGACTCGAAATCGTGCATCGTTTGCAAACTAGAAAAAAGAGCGGGCATCGGGAAATGCATTTGATAAAATAGCTCGTCAGGATGACCGACTTGGTCGTAACTAGCCATCAGAATCACGGATCACGAGGGTCGCCGTACCTGCCGGCGGCGTCCGACTTGGAGCGGACCCACATGCGGTAGTTGGCCGCCTCGTACGCGTCGAACTTCTCCTCCAGCAAACTCTCGGACCGCATCAGCGACACTTCCCCCGCGCCGTTCGCCTCCGCGTGCTTCTTCGCGCGCACCACCGCGACCGCCTCCGCCATCGCCGCTGCTGCTGCTGCTGCTGCTGCGAGAAAAAGCAGGCTCGCTCGGACTCAACTAAGGCGTGCGTTTGTGGATTAATAAATGAAAAGCTAATAGTAGTGTTGTGACCCAATCGCAAGGTGCCTTGTCCATGGCAGGCTTACGTGTTCGGCGGTGGAATGCGGTTCTAGTCGGGACAGGAGCACCGCTAGCACACAGGAATCGCTTGCCGCCTACGAGGAGAGGTCTGTTTGTTGAGAGAAGCGTGTTGGTTGAACTTGGGATGGGTTGCGGATGCGAGTGAAGTGACCACAACGCTGTTGCCCCATGATAGTCGCCATGCCATTCTGTATCCCTTTTAGTCCAGTAAATTGCCCACTATTTAGAGGCCACTTGTTTATATATAGGCGTATTGATTCGAACACACGGGAAATGGCCCAACCTACAGAGTCCCACAGATCTCCAACAGTGACCACATCTGATTCCGAGACCCCAAACGTGCAGACAGGACGTTCTGAGGCCTTACACTATTGCCCAAGGAAAGAAAAAGAAACAACAATGGTCACCCACTTTTGACGGAAAAATGCCAACTAGGTAACCAGACGACCATACATTGGCCCATTTCGCCCGTGAAAGTTTTGTGCTCGACTCTGCGAGTACCCGCCCGAAAAACACTGGGCTTGAAGGTGCGCACTATGTTAAATTATATATTGTGTTATATAATTGTTAGGCTTGGTAGGTTACCGAACTCTACTGTAGAGGGTAAAATCCCCTCCTTGTATCCCTCTCTCTTTCTAGTCAACCCTCTTTTCTCTCGTCAAACTTTCCCTCCTAGTTCTCCTAGCTCCTAAACCTCACGCTATTTTCATGGCTGCCCTACGTTCATAGCAATTCAATCATTCGAACACACTGGGCACTGGGGCCATAGTGCCATGCCATGCCATACACCACAATCATAACGGTCCTTGTTTGTGTACAGTACAAGCAACCGATGCCGTGCTGCTGCTTCACGAAAGAGTTAACGATCACCAAATACCGCAAGCGAGAAATCGCATGATCGCTGCAAGGACTCCTCGATTCGGCTGTGTAAGGGATTACAATTCCTTACTGCACTAAATTGCAGCGCGTACACCCGAAGACCTCGACCTTGCAGGTTCGGCCTCGATTTCGGCCCAAACCTTCCCGAGTCACGTTACGACACCCTCGCCACCCTTCCGAGCCACCTCACGTCCCGAGGTTCTCACCCTAGCACGTACGAGCCCTATTTTAGTCAGTTAGCTCCTCACTTGCTCATTAATTATTACTCCTAGGTTGTATTTCTATTACTCCATTGATTGTTCCATTCCCACTCATAACACTTGGTATTCAGAGCCACTTTCCTCGCGCAGTAGCTTCCGCCTGCCCGAGATTTTTCTTGGTGGGGGGCGGGGGGGAAGGAGGGATGGCTGGTGGGCCGCAAGGCTGCACAACGGTTGGTTTAGAGCTAAAGCGTCGTCGGCAGCAGCACCTGACAAGATCCTAAAGCGAGTTCGTCGGGCGGCTACGCCAACGGTTGAAGAAAAAACAAGAAAAACAAGCCTTCCTGTCGCGCGGCAACCTCAAGGAAACGCCAGGGAATTGTGGCCGCAAGGAGTACGCGGGATAAAGCATGAAGGGCGTAGGTGACGTCCTGTTCGTTGCTCCGGTATTTATGGTAAGAGATTTATGGCAAGAGGACGGCGCGCGTGCCCCTCGGCTAAATGACTGGATTTCAGCGGCTATGGAGATCGTCACCGACAAAATCGTCATCAATTGGCAGCCGAACTTCACGGAGGGCCGCCGATTCTCTTCTCCCACGCCGAGCAGAGTTTTCACCTAACCGGAGGGGAAACTCATGTTCGAGGAAACGACCATTGCCCCTGAAGAAAACAAGGAGTACGGACGCAACAACAGAGTTTCTACAGTTTATGGAGCAGCATTAACGCGTCCCCCTGAGTTACCGAGTGGAAGCAGTCTTCGAGATATAGCGGGAGATGGACGGCGGCAGCCGAGAACCCAGTGGAAGCGGCTTTGCCGTGAGTCAATAGCAGAATCGGCCACGTATTGACGGGGTACTTTGCCAACCGTCCGAAGTCCCCCACCTGGTTGCGACAACTATATGGTCAAAATATCCAGGCTGAAAAAGGGCGGAATAAGCCATATTCGTCATATGCTGGCGGAGGGTGCGACAGTGGAGTGCTACAAAAAAAAGGGGGGTAATTCGTGGTGGCAGAAGGGATTTGCACATTTGCGCAGCGGCTGGCTGGGAGTTAATATTTTAGCTCCACCGACTAAAGGCGTGCGCGCTAGCTTTTGCTCCGTCCTGCCCAAGATTACGGTTTTACAGTAGTTTACTTGCCGACAGAAGTGGAAAGTTGAGTGAACGACGACTTGCCGAAAATGTCGGGGAAGCCATAATGAAATATTTGAAATTGACACTGTCGCAGCTGGAGCTCGACACTGTATCCGAAGTTTTCGGAGTGCGGCTAAGCGGAGGGAGTTGTCCCAGATTTACACGGGCTACTACGACGCGCGATAATGCCTAGCACTTGTTTGGTGTCATGGCGAGCGCAAAGATGGGTGAACGTCCGCGCGCTGCAAAAATGTCCGGTACCAGATGGGGAATTCTTTGAAGACCAGCGGCGCAGCTGTTAAGCACCAGGAGTTTACGGGTATCTGAGTAGCAGTGAAACGGTTTTGGGTAACCTACAGCAGCCGCGAGATGGGTGAACATCTGCACGGCCAGCTGGTCAGGGGTACCAGGGTATTTTAGGAGTTTGGGTTACAAGTGTGAGGAGATCGATAACGTATGATGCTCGCCAGCCATGATCGACGGCCGAAGATCCATGCCTAGGTGGTGAACGACGATTACCCTCGATTAAAGGGCTCGGTTCATGCGTACAGCTGGTGACGGACCGATGGGGGTGCAGCTAAAGGACGCCGCGTCTGTGTTTATGGGTAGCTGAGAAGCACGTGCAGCTGTGAAGCGGAGTTGCGGTATTTGTTAAGTTACGGGAGAAGTTCTGACATTTTTGCTAGAAGAAACAGTGAAGCAGTTCAAGGTTTTGCAGCTGGCGTGGTGCCCACTATATCCAGGGGTACGAGTGACGCCATCCGATTCTTGCGGAGTAGTTTGGTTTCAAAGAGAGTGAAGGACCAGCAGCTGTTTCGGCTCTTTCCGAAAATTTCGGCATGTACGAACAAAACGGAGCTGCAGTCGTGTGACTCTGGGTTCGGCTCGAGAGTGTTTACTGGATCGGGTCAGGACAGGTCATTTTCCATCGTCATCGCCGTCAACATCTCGCCAACACCCGCTACCACCTCCATCGTCAATTCGCCTACCTTCGTTCGCTATACAGAACACGACCCCACCATCCGCTTGGAGCAGTATCGAATTGACAAGATTTGGCAGCGGTACCGTTGGAGCTGTGTTTGGGCCAGCTTGCAAGCAGTGGATTGACTCGTGAAGATTTTTTCAGTTCGTCTGGGAGTTATTTCTAGAGCAGTAGTTGCTGATTTTCAGGACTTCATAAGCAGTTCGCCCTGCAGATGAATTCAACTTTGGAGCAGATTTGGGAGTTAAGGCACCGCCTGGCAGCTAAGGGCAACTGCCACGCACCTCGTAGCAGCTGGGGCAGCTACAATGCACCTCCTGGCAGCTAGGGGCACCTGCAAGGCATCGCCCGGCAGCTAGGGGCAGCTGCCAGGTACCTCCTGGCAGCTAGGGGCGGCTGCCACGCACCTTATGGCAGCTATGAGCGGCTGTCAGGCACCACCTGGCAGCTAGGGGTGGCTACCAGGCACCTTGTGGCAGCTAGGGGCAGCTGCAAGGCACCTCCTGGCAGCTAGGGGCAGCTGCAAGGTACCGCCTCGAAACTAGGGGCAGCTGCAAGGCACCTCGTGGCAGCTAGGGGCGGTTGCCAGGCACCTCCTGGCAGCTATGGGCGGCTGCCAGGCACCTCCTGGCGGATAGGGGCGGCAGCAATTCACCTTCTAGCGGCCAGTGGCGGCTGCAAGGCACCTCCTGGCAGCTATGGGCGGCTGCCAGGCACCACTTGGCATCTGTGAGCAGCTGCTAGGCACCTCCTGGCAGGTATGGGCGGCTGCCAGGCACCTCATGCCAGCTAGGGGCAGCTGCCAGGCACCTCCTGGCAGCTTGGGGCAGCTGCAATGCATCGCCTGACAGCTAGGGGCAACTTCCAGGCACCTCATGGCAGCTATGGGCGGCTGCAAGTTACCTCATGGCAGCTAGGGGCAGCTACCAGGCACCTCCTGGCAGCTGTGGACGGCTGCAAGGCACCTCCTGGCAGCTAGGGGCGGCTGCAAGGCACCTCCTGCCGGCTATGGGTGGCTGCCATGCACCTCCTGGCAGCTAGGGGCGGCTGCCAGGCACCTCGTGGCGGCCAGGGGCGGCTGCAAGGCACCTCCTGGCGGCTAGGGGCGGCTGCAAGGCACCTCCTCGTAGCTAGGGGCAGCTGCAAGGCACCTCATCGGAGCTAGGGGCATCTGCCATTCACCTTCTGGCACCTAGGGGCGGCTGCCACGCCCATCGTTGCAGCTATGGGCGGCTGCCAGGCACCACCTGCCAGCTAGGGGCGGCTGCCAGGCACCTCCTGGTGGCTAGGGGAGGCACGGCAAAGGGGACGCATGGCAAAGGGGATGTACGGCACAGGGCACAGGGGATGAGGTGCCTCCTAGACGTCCCTAGCTGCCAGAAGGTTCCTGGCAGCCACCTCTATCTGCCAGGTGGTGCCTGGCAACCGCCCATAGCTGCCATGAAATGCCTGGCTGCCGCCCCTAGTTGCAAGGAGGTGCCTAGCAGCTGCCACTAGCTGCCTGACGGTGCCTTGCAGCGGCCCCTAGCTGCCAGACGGTGCCTGGCAGCTGACCCTAGCCGCCAGGAGGTGCCTAGAAGCCGCCCACAGCTGCCAGGTGGTGCGTGGCAGCTGCCCCTAGCTGCCAGGAGGTGCGTGGCAGCGGCCCCTTGCTGCTAGGCGGTGCCGTGCAGCCGCCCCTAGACGCCTGGAGGTGCCTTGCAGCTGCCCTTAGCTGCCAGGAGGTGCCTAGCAGCTGTCCCTCGCTGGCAGGTGGTGCTTGGCAGCCTCCTATAGCTGCCATGAGGTGCCTGGCTGCCGCACCTAGTTGCCAGGAGGTGACTGGCAGATGCCACTAGCTGCCAGATGGTGCCTTGCAGCTTCCCCTAGCTGCCATACGCTGCCTGGCGGCTGGCCCTAGCTGCCAGGAGGTGCCTGGCAGCCACCTCTAGCCTCCAGG